AAGCTCCCCACAAGTTTTTGGGCATACCCAGAACATTACAAAACTCCGTTGCAAACTCTGATCCCATTCTTCACTTGGGTCAAAAAATTGCGGAGTTCGGAGCTACCTCCACTGCAGGCAATGGGTGTGACTTGTGTGCAACAGTCGTGCACCCTGCCCGCAACCCGGAACTGTACTGAACGCTTGGGTTTCGGTGTGATCAACTCCTGCATTGGCAGCAAATTCTACGAAAATATGAAGCGTTCATTTCATGAATGTGTTTTTTCTTCAAATGCAAATACACCATGCCCATTATGATACCAGGAAAAACACACTCGACCAGTCTGTCACCTGCATCCCTGAAGATAATCATGACCATCTCTGCTTGGGACCATTTTCCTCGCGATCGTGGCATGCTAATTATCTAATTTATATGCAACGAACTATACAATCTATACATGTATGTACCCAGTATTTGTTGGCAAACAAAAAACATAAAATAATGTAAAACCTCATCGCTGGACACTCGGTTTACCCCATAATCTGAGGATCTGGGAAAACCTCGTTGCTTAAACCTCCGGCTTCAAAACTGAATACTCGCAGGTGGATAACCAAATCCCACAAAATCTGTGTGTGTGTGTCTTATCCTGAAAACACCAAAGGTATCCAAATCTTTGATTTTCTACATGATATTCCCATTATTTCTCATTATTTCCCATTAGATGGACCATTAAATTATATACATGTTTTTCCACTTAAGCATTTTGTTGGCTGCGCAATCTCACTACCAGCAGGACATTCAGAGCGGCAGGTCTCTGTACGAGACTGGGATGATGGCGATTCAACTTCAGGGTGGATTCAACGAAGGAATCATGAAATACATTGAAATACCATCCTGAAAACAAACGGTGTGCAAAAGAACATATTTACAAACATCTCAAAAAAAAATAAAAAAATAGGTTCCATGATGTTCCATGTTAAGGTCAAATATCTTAAGCGGGAGTGGTTCGTGGTTCCATTGAGGATTCCCAAACAGTCGGAGGGAAGATTTCAGTCCAATGTCTCCAGCCCCAGCTGAAAAAGTTGGGACATATTTTCTACCTCAGAAAATTTTGTCGCGCTTCACAACTATGTCTACTTCCTTAAAGATTATCTATAGAAGAATCATCCTAAAAACAAAACGACTGTAGCTTGTATCCGCATGTTGCTTGTATCACCATCCGCTCCAGGGGGAGCCGACCTCTTGGGGCTGTCCCAGCGCATCGATCACAGAAAATCAGCCGAGACACTCAAAGCACCCATGAAAAACATGGTTAACATTATTAACATATGGTTAATATTAATGGTTATTATATGGTTTATGATGCTTAATATATATCTGGTTGGTGGTGCAAATAATAACCATCTTGAAAAATGATGGAGTTCGTAAATGGGTTTCGGATGACATCCCTTTTTTATGAAATGGAAAATAAACAATGATTGAAACCACCAACCATTAACCATTACTAACCACCACTACTAACCACCATTAACCATCATTAACAACCAACCAGATAGAGTAAACTACTCATGTTTTGATGTGTCAACGGAGTGTCTTTTTGTCTAGGGAATCACCCTATAGCTGGGAAGCCCCAGGGGCACAAACCTCCCGATTTCGCGTGCGCATAGCCGTGGGGATGATTTCCTACCTACTGTTTGGTTATGAACTGGAGTCCCCTATCATGGATAGTTCAATAATCCCCCAATAGACCCCAAATCCACATATAAAAAAAAAATATATATACGTATTTATAACTGGTTGGTGGTTTTAACCATCTTGAAAAATATGAAAGTCAACGGGAAGGAATATCCCATATGTGAAATGGAAATCAAAAAATCATGTTCCACCAACCATATATATATATATATATATATATGTACCCTATGGATCCAAGTACCTTCTTAGGAAGTGTTTGGGGTATGATTTGGGGGGTTAAGTATCTTCTCAGGAAGTGTTTGGATCCATAGGGTTATCATTGCCAATCTTAGATACCCTGCAAACAATGACAAATTCTTTGCTGGTGAAGGTTGATATTCCCATTGATATCAAGTCAGACTAGTTAGGATTAGTTTCTGTCCATCTAAGATTGACCTAGTCTATAGTTCTAGTCACCATATCCCCCAAAATCCATGTATATATATATATACCTGTTGGTGGTTTCAACCCCTCTTAAAAATATGAAAGTCAGTTGGGATTATTCTTCCCAATCTATGGAAAATAAAAATGATCCAAACCACCATCATATTTTTGAATTCAACATTGCAAATTCACCATTTCATGGTTGACAATTCAATAAAAAAGGTATGAGACAACAATATACATACAATGTGGGCCCCCCCAGTTATAAGTTGTAACTTATAAACCCCATTAACCATAGTTATTTGCGTACCATAAACCATAGTGAAATTGGAGTTATGTTCACCAACTTAGCTATCTTGGGGGCCCCACATTGTATGTACCCTATCCCTCTGGTAATTTGTTACATAACTATGGTTCAAATCACCATTGAAATAGTGAATTGTCCCATGATTATCCCATTATTATCCCATGAAATTAAACAATTATCATGGCAGTGTTTTCTAAATCCAAATCTGCAACTAACAAACAGCCTACCATCAGACTGGATCGGCTCAGGCCGACGGGGGTCACGTGTGATCGATGTGGACTTGGACCAGGAGTTTTTACACATGGCGATTTAAGATGGGCACCTGGAACCAAAAAGGTGATATATATATATATTATTTATTAGTATTGCATTTTTTGTTTATTGCTGTTTATTATTTATTGTTATTATTATTATTATTAAAATTTGTGTTATTATTATTACTATTATTATTATATATATATATTATAAGTGTATATAATTGTATATACATATTATATAATCACATATCATCCATCATCCATTGATAGCAACACATCAAGTTGGCTCAAACTACAAAATCGGTTGACCCAGTAAACCGTTAACCAGAGACCATTCGAACTGGACCAAAAGAAAGTATTGGCACACTTGGGACTTGGGTCTGTATCTTGAACATGCATGACTCGGTTGGTACGACAAGTGACTGCAGGATGCGATTCAAAAAGAAAAAACATCCACAAACATCCCTGCCAGGCAAACCCCTCACTTGCGCACTTAGGATTTCACTCACTTGCGCACTTACCCTCACTTGCGCACTTCACCACAAAATTTCACTCACTTGCGCACTTACCTGAACAAGGGGGGGAGGGGGGGGGGGGGGGAGGGGGGGGGAGGGGGTGCATAAGGGAACAAGGGGGAAGGGGGGGGGGGTCATATGTGGGAACAAGGGGGGGGGGGAACAGGGGGGAGGGTTGCATAGGGAACAGGGGGGGCAGGGGGGGGGGACAGGGGGGGAGGGGGGGATCGCATCGTCTAATGTTTGACATCCTCCCCAAAGTTTTGGAATCCCCCTTTGAATTAAGTGCGAGTGTTGGTCTCATAGATTTGAGTGTCAGATTTGTCTCATAGATTTAATGCTCAGCAAATGTGGAGGGGGTAAGAATTTTCAAAAAAAACGCGAGTATTTCTTTATGTTATAATATATGTGGGAAGGGTTCATCATCATCTATACACCAATAAGGGTTGTTATGACTAACATTTCAACAACCAGGTTCAAATGCCTTTGACAGAATTTCTGTGTGAAAAACTCACAAGACAAGTTGCACATACAGCACAACAAGATACCAGTCAAACTTGACAGGCAAGACTTTTCAACCCTTAGATCAAACCCGTCTTGACGCAGCAGTTCCACATGTTTTGCATTAACAATGCGAAACACCATTGACCCCAACAATAATGCAAACATTTTTGTACCAAACAGGACGTGCATGTCTAAACCTAACACGTTACTGTGCCCCATGGCACAGGAGGCTGGCATCCGAATGGCATCGACAAGAAAATCATAAGTGCACAAGCGAGGAGAATCGCAAGTGCACAAGCGAGGCAAATCATAAGTGCACAAGCGAGTGCTCGCCCTCACTGCCAAGTATCCAAGTACCACCAAACCCTAAACCCTAACCCAATCTTAACCACAAATGAAGTTTTGAACATGATAACCTCTACTTCACCACCAAACAGTGTTGCGCCAAGTATCCAACCACCTTGTATTTGGATGTATTCGGATCATTCTTTGAAACCTTTAGTGCCTTCACAAATGGTTGGTTACCATCTCGTTATGACTAACAGTTTGCCATGGAAAATCACCATGCTATTAATAGGTAAACCATCTATTTCTATGGGCCATTGCCCATGGCTATGTTAAATAACCAGAGGGTAATTTCTGCAAAGCCCCGTGAAATGGGAAAAGACTTCAAAAGCCCTTTGTTCCACAGCCATGAACGATGCAGTCCTCAAATTTCCGGGGGCGATGTGACATGGCCTGCCTACTCAGTGTGGATGTGGTTAAGCATGCAAACAAGAAACGCGAGCAATGTTCAATGTCTACGGTATGTCGATTTAGCCAGCAAATATGATGTGGGACAGTGGGACCAAACAATTGGATACTAATAATGGCGGTATCATGGCAACCATCGAACAAAAAAAATATGTTGGTTAATAAATATCTGACTTGGGCTTGTCCAAGACTGGAGGACACCCCAATTTGGTGCCACCAATGAGTCATTTTCACGGGGAATTAATGATCAACCTATATCAACCCTGGGTGTTGTTGGTTGACTGTAGTCAATCACATATACCAAACATGGATGGTGTTGGATGCGGGTATGACTCATGACTAACAAGTATTGCCCCTAAGCATTATATATATAGATAGATAGATAGATTGTTGATTATTCTGAAGTCAACAATTGCATTCCATTCTTGTTTGTCGATACCAGCACATTGGTTTGTTGAGGACTGCAGTACCTCACTTAAAATGACCCAATTTGTGGACCCAGTGCTACATGTGCTACCTCCTCTTTGATCTTCTTTGAAACACATCGAAATGTAGACATGCAGGCCATTCACTCACCCCATATTCAGGTCAGGACAACCGCAGGGCGGTTGCAATTCTGGTAGGGGGCCAGACGTGCACTTTGTGCATGTCAAAGCACCTCAGTTCCAAGATATCGCCCTGGTGAATGGCCACACCAGGATCAAATACCTTCAGAGAACCCATCGTGTTACCAATACAAATGGCTAAGAACAACTGAAAACACATTAGATCAACACCAAGGGAGTCATTGCCAATAGAAACAGACTTTAGCACCTGTAAAAAAAACAGAAAACAAAACACATATGGCCATGGAGCAAAACCTATTAATACCATTTTTAGGGGACATGAACATCCATTTACCAGCTATTTTGGGGTTCACTAGGTACCAGGGTTTTGACCCATCCCCACATATCAAAAAACAGAAAACAAAACAAGACAAAAACATTGATCATACTTTCCAATCGTTCATGTCGCAGCTACAGTTTGTTTTTTAAACCCACGTGCCATTGTCCAGGTGATGTCAATGGCGATGTGAAATCCAAACCTCCCCGTCGGGGGTTAAGCCCCCTTCTGATAACGAACTGCCGCAGGGTTGACACTTAGACTGCCCCGAAAAAAAACAAAAAAAGGCGCTGCTCATAACAAAACACCCGACTCAACCCTGTATACAGTTTAATAATCAATTAAGTCAGTTACAAATTGTAACACACACATTGTAGCCACTAAACCGTTCAAACCTAGTAATCAATGACTAATCGAAATAAACCAACCGGTTTAAATAGACCTAATAATGAATAAGTGATTGAGTTTCACAAACTAACGTAATCATCAATAATTGATCGACAAAAACCAACCACTTCGATGGGCCATGGGATTAACGATTCCTGGTTAGTAACTGGGGATTTGTTACCCTCAACAAATCCCAATGAAATAATCCATGGCTACTAACTAGTCAACTAACTCCATGGCCCATCTAAGCAGTCTTTCATGCTTTCTCTTTGCTGTTGCGCCAAGCCACGACTCAACGTGTCACGGGGCAGCGGAGCATGCGAAGCTTCCCACACACGTCCTACGCCCAAGGCCCAGGTCGGGCCGCTGAGGGGAGAAAGATGTTGGAAAGTCATACAGGATGGGGCCCTCCAGTTATGTTAGTTTGTTTATAACCCCATCTAAATACAGTATAGTTATAAGTATCATACACTATGGTTACTGCAGTTACAAACCAACTTAGCTAACTATGGGGCCCCATCCTGTAGAACAATTATCATTTAACCCAGACAAACAACTGAGGATTGTAGGGAAATCATCATTTGTATAAGCCAGAAAAAATGGGGATCGGCATTGACAGATAATTAATGATAGCAAAGTTGGCTTGGATTTTGTTTTACTTGTCATAAACGATAAAAAAAACACAGGAACAAAGAGGAAAACCATGGACAATTACAGGAAAACATATCATTTTTTTTGCCGCCATGTTTGGGGTCAAAAAACTAGCAGCGAAAAAACAAGTTGGACACTTTTTCAGATTGATAGCAGCTTTGGATTATCCAGGCCTGTTATCAGTTTGGTTCAGGTTGAGGGCGGCCCTCAAGTGATCTTGTATACATTCACCCTCACGTGACATCCTGAAACCACACTTTTTTAACCAAAAAAAACATGATGCTCTGGACAAAGTGTAAATACGAATACGACGTCTTCCACCTGTGAGCCAATGTGCTCCAGTTATACCCTCAATTCGAAGGTGAGACACCAAAAAAACACTCCATCCATACAGTCTCAGTCTCGGTGTTTGGAGCTGTAGGGCTTAGTCATGCTGTTTTGCAAAGGATCTGAGTGGTTTCTTCTTGGCCACAAAATCTGCTCCTAACATTGAAGACCAACTCCATGGCCCAAAGTATGGGTACTTATACCATACGGTTCCATATGGTTCCATATGGGATGTTATTTATATATTAATATATATACATATACATAATATATATATATATACATATTATATATATACATAATATATATAATATGTCTGATACATCTAAAAATGGTTTGCGTCTTCCGATTCTTTCAAATATCATCCCAACTTTTTGTGCACAAATCCGCAGGTTTCATGCTTAAACTCCTTTTGGTTCAGGTTTAAGTCCTAATTTCCAGGCGTTGAAATCAAAGTCTTAATCTAGTTCTCACACATTCTAATCGATAAATCAGCTTAAACATGCTTAAACCATCTTAAACCCAGCATCTTCTCTGGCTTTGACATTTCATTTCTACCCATTAAAATCACCTTAAGCCTCCATCTTCGCAGTGGTACCCCTCCTCTCTAGCGGCTAGGCGTTCCAGCCGCGAGCCCTCACGCTCGCACAGCCGAGGCGTAGCAGGCGTAGCGGCCTGCGCGAAGTTCGCGAAGCGATGTGGAGTTCTTTGGAAATTTTCATGGGAAAAACATGGTGAACCTGATAAGTACTTAGATGGGCCATGGAGTTAGTGAAAACTAGTTAGTAGCCATGGATTATTTCATTGGGATTTGTTGAGGGTAACAAATCCCCAGTTACTAACTAGTTAGTTAATCCCATTGCCCATCTAAATACGTCAAAAACCCTGATTGTTTGCTGGTGAATGGACTAATTTTAGCATAGCGAGACACTAAATTACTAAAGTCTATCTAAACAAGGTTGACCCAAACAATATGGGTTAAACACAGCATGTTTTCAAGAACATATATATATATAATATACGTGTATATATATATATATATGTTGGAAAACTCTGGGGAAAATAGAGAAATCCTTGCTGAGATGTACCCCAGAAACTAAACAGTTAACTAACTCCAGAGCACATGTAAGTTGTAAGTCACCCAAGTGAGGTGATCACCCCTTAGTTGAAGGTTTCCTAAGTCCTGGAGTTGCCCCCAAATCATCCAAGTCATGGATGACTGGATGATCATTTGTTATGGTATTGAAACCCATGGTGACTTTGGGATTCCCTATTTTAAGGAACCCTCATATGGATAAAAAAAACACATTTTTTGAAGGCAATATTGATAAATATATGATATGATATATTGGCTAATAATCTGGGTAAAAACCCTACGGTAATTGGTAATTGATAACTTGTTACGTAGCTATGGTATAGAAGGCCCATTTAGTTCGATGTAATGTTGACCAACAAAAAACAATCACAAGGCAACTAACTATGCTGCAAGAAACACGGAGCTACTGTATTTATTGGCCACCACAAAAAAAAGTAAGAACATATTTCAATAACCAGCGATAACATACAAGGTGAGGGCCCCTTATCAACCCCGCGGTCATAAGTTGGTTCATAAACTCCTTTGACTATATTCCCCTTAGCAACCATAGTTATCTAGTTGCAAGTTCCATATGAATAAAACCATACAAACTGTTTGTTGTCTTTTACCAAGTTATAGGTCAACTTAGCCATCGGGACTCACCAAGACTTCCACGAACCCCACGGCTCGCCTGTGCACGGCTCGACATGGGTCGACATGGGTCCTGACTGGCGTACGGCGGTTTACCCGACTGGGAATAACAACATGGCTGGCTGGCAAATCCATCATTGGGGTCCATGTGTAGATGTTTGTGCTATCCATTATCCATCTATAATCTATCCATCTATCCATCTATCCATCTATCCATCTATCCATCTATCCATTTATCCATCTATCCATCTATCCATCTATTCACCTGTCATCTATCCATCTATCCATCTATCCATCTATCATCTATCCATCTATCCATCTATCATCTATCCATCTATCATATTTCCATCTATCATCTATCCATCTATCATCTATTCATCTATAATCTTTCCATCTATCCATCTATCATCTATCCATCTATTCACCTATCATCTATCCATCGATCATCTTTCCATCTATCCATCTACCCATTTATCCATCTATCCATCTATCCATCTATCATCTATCCATCTATCCATCTATCCATCTATCCATCTATCCATCTATCCATCTATCCATCTATCCATCTATCCATCTATCCATCTATCATCTATCCATCTATCCATCTATCATCTATCCATCTGTCATCAATCCATCTATCATCTATCCATCTATCCATCTATCATCTATCCATCTATCCATCTATCATCTATCCATCTATCCATCTATCCATCTATCCATCTATATCAATCTATCCATCTAACATCTATCCATCTATTCATCTGTCATATATCCATCTATCCATCTAACATTTTTCCATCTTATCATCTATCCATCTACCCATTTATCCATCTATCCATCTATCATATATCCTTCTATCATCTATCCATCTATTCATCTATCCATCTAGCCATCTATTCATCTATCCATCTATCCATCTATCATCTTTTCATCTATCCATCTATCCATCTATTCACCTATCCATCTATCCATCTATCCATCTATCCATCTATCACGTATCCATCTATTCATCTATCATCTATCCATCTATCCATCTATCATCTATCCATCTTTCCATCTATCCATCTACTCATTTATCCATCTATCCATCTATCATCTATCCATCTACCCATCTATCATCTATCCACCTATCCACCTATCCACCTATCCACCTATCCACCTATCCATCTATCCATCTATCCATCTATCCATCTATCCATCTATCCATCTATCCATCTATCCATCTATCCATCTATCCATCTATCCATCTATCATATTTCCATCTATTCATCTATCATCTATCCATCTATCCATCTATCCATCTATCATCTTTCCATCTATCCATCTACCCATTTATCCATCTATCCATCTATCATCTATCCATCTATGATCTATCCATCTATTCATCTATCCATCTAGCCATCTATCCATCTATCCATCTATCCACCTACCCATCTATTCATCTATCCATCTTATCATCTATCCACCTATCCATCTATCCATCTATCCATCTACTATGTGACTATGTAGCTGTATTGCAATTGCTCGTTATGTCTCGCTGTGTTCGTTGCGTGTTTGTCTCCTGGAGGGCATGGAACAAACGTCCCTGATCCAGGAGAAAACTCCTCAATCGTCCTTTGGATGACTGCAACTCTTCAACATCCAGCCGCGTAGCCCATGGTTTGCGGTACTTCCTATATCCGATGTTGCCATCCACCAACATGCCAATGCACGATGATGCGTGTATATGCGGACATGAAACCAGCTCTGAAAAAAAAACAACTCGACGGAACAAATCACATGTTGGCTGAAGGTTTTAATCTCACTAGAAACAAATCCTTGACCAATTTCAGATCCTAATCTCATGTCTTGAATACAATAGACTAAACTAGAAAATATTGGAAATAACAACTCACAACCAGCCAGTTCATTGCTGATAGCCCTCTTGTTGTGGATCGCCGGTATAGCATCCATCTTTCGGGTTCCAACTCTACCCAGCCGGAGTCGATGACATCCAGGTCGAGCCACAGATCTCACGTGGGGCTTCGGACTCTGGATGTCCTGGCAGCAAAGAAGGAGGGTAGTCAACCATAGTCCCAGATGGGCCATGGAGTTAGTGAAAACTATACTTAGTAGCCATGGATTATTTCATTGGGATTGTTTGAGGGTTAGTTAATCCACAGTTACAAAGTAGTTAGTTAATCCCATGGCCCATCTAAGTAGTCCCTGTCCAAGGTGGTGCCCCCCCAGTGATGTGAACGTTGATTAATCCCATGGCAACTAGTTCGATATATCTACCATAAGTCCAAGTTCGTGAAATTAGAGTTATAAACGCACCAACTGAACGCTATGAAGGGGGCAGCACATTTTTTTGTCCCATTCCTCAGTCCCTGGGGGATTTTCCGCAATTGATGTACGGGGGCCCCAGATTGTATACATGATTTTCTTTTGAATTTTGCGGATTTCGTTGGGGGATCAACAGCATCGCCACAGTGGAGGGTATCCGCTGGCAAGTAGCCCATGGGCCTATGATTCCCCGTTCTGGGATGGCCAATGGCCATGGTATGTTTGGGTGTGGGACTTCAAGGTGGTTTTGGGGATGGTGACTTTGATAAAGGGTCTACCGTACATCAATTGCGGAAAATCCCCCAGGGACTGAGGAATGGGACAAAAAAATGTGCTGCCCCCTTCATAGCGTTCAGTTGGTGCGTTTATAACTCTAATTTCACGAACTTGGACTTATGGTAGATATATCGAACTAGTTGCCATGGGATTATAAACCAACGTTCACATCACTTGGGGGGCACCACCTTGTTTGATGACCTATGGAATTTCAGAAACTCTAGAAACCAAGAAGTGCAGGAAACCATAGGAACCTTTTCTTGGAGGTAGAAGCCATGGTTTGCCCCACACAACCCATGATCTCCAGCAGGATTTGTTGCATAAATTTGTTCTGTTCATGTGATAGACCCAACGCCGTAAAACAATTTCATTACCCTCTGGTAATTTAACATAGCTATTGAACATGGCCATTTATAGTGAGTTTTCCCATTAAAAAATGTGATTTTCCATAGTTATGTTATAGTTTACCAGGGGGTAACCAACCATGACTGGGTGAGAATTCAATACAAAAAACCTCTTTTGGGCATGGTGACTTTTAAAAAGGGTCTACCAAGATAGCTAAGTTGGTTTTGTATATAATTCCAATATCTATGGTTGATGCCACTTAGTATTATAGTTCATAGGATTTAGAAACCAATTTATAACTAGGGGCCCCACATTGTATATAAATAATGGATTCACATTTGCCATGTTTGATTACTGGACAGTATCGCACTTCATGACTTACCAAAGCACTTTTGGTGAACGTCCCGTAACATGTATCTGTCTTTTGTTGTCATGGCTAGGAACTCTGGCTGCTTACAGCCTTCTGCTGGTTGGATTGTGCCTCCATGTCCACAGCTGGTTGTTGCTACAAGGAATTCAATGTATATGGCCAAATTACTTTAATTCTTACCTCGTCTCCCTCGTGTCTTAATTTGTTCCCCATGATTACTGTCCTCGTTCGTTAATTTGCAGGTGCAAATTAAGGCTTTACCTCGTTAATTCGAAGGAAGAAAGTAGCTTGTGGGCCTTCTTTCCAGGGTCCAACCCCAAGGAAAAAAAACTTTTCAGCTTCCGAAAAGTTTTTTCCACGATCCACGGTCTCTTGCAGGGATTTTTAAATCTGAGTCTGATCGGTCTTTGCGCTTCTTGCGCTTGGGTGGTGACATCTCTGACATTATCGCAGAGATGCAATGCTCTTCTGGAGCAACTCTGAATCCTACTGCTTCTGCAGCCGTCAACCCACGAAGCGGGCCTCTGGCGATAGAAAATAAAACTTTTTGGGGCCTGAAAAGTTTTTTTTCCTTCCTTGCCTGCTGACCGGCCTCTGGCGATAGAAAATAAAACTTTTTGGGGCCTGAAAAGTTGTTTTTCCTTCCTTGCCTGCTGACCGGCCTCTGGCGATAGAAAATAAAACTTTTTGGGGCCTGAAAAGTTATTTTTCCTTCCTTGCCTGCTGACCGGCCTCTAGCGATAGAAAATAAAACCTTTTTTGGGGCCTGAAAAGTTTTTGTTTTCCTTCCTTGCCTGCTGACCGGCCTCTAGCGATAGAAAAAAGAGAACTTTTTGGGGCCTGAAAAGTTCTTGTTTTCCTTCCTTGCCTGCTGACCGGCCTCTAGCGATAGAAAATAAAACTTTTTGGGGCCTGAAAAGTTTTTGTTTTCCTTCCTTGCCTGCTGACCGGCCTCTAGCGATAGAAAAAAGAGAACTTTTTGGGGCCTGAAAAGTTTTTTTTCCTTCCTTGCCTGCTGACTGGCCTCTGGCGATAGAAAATAAAACTTTTTGGGGCCTGAAAAGTTTTTTTTCCTTCCTTGCCTGCTGACCGGCCTCTGGCGATAGAAAATAAAACTTTTTGGGGCCTGAAAAGTTTTTTTTCCTTCCTTGCCTGCTGACCGGCCTCTGGCGATAGAAAATAAAACTTTTTGGGGCCTGAAAAGTTTCTTTTCCTTCCTTGCCTGCTGACCGGCCTCTAGCGATAGAAAATAAAACTTTTTGGGGCCTGAGAAGTTGTTTTTCCTTCCTTGCCTGCTGACCGGCCTCTGGCGATAGAAAATAAAACTTTTTGGGGCCTGAAAAGTTGTTTTTCCTTCCTTGCCTGCTGACCGGCCTCTGGCGATAGAAAATAAAACTTTTTGGGGCCTGAAAAGTTTTTTTTCCTTCCTTGCCTGCTGACCGGCCTCTGGCCCCCAAAAAAGTTTTTCTAGCCAAGCCCAAGCATGCAACAGAACCAATGCAAGGCTACCTCGTCGAGGTCGGCTAATTCTGATGAGCAAATTAAGGGCTGACCTCGCTAATTCCTGCAACCTGCCTCGTTGCCTCGGCTGTCCTCGCTATAATTTGTGCAGAATGTATGTCAAGACAGGACAGGGTTGCAATGATGGGCCAAAAAAAAACTTTTCACCAAGGAATTTAACAATATTCAACATAATAATAACCCATCTTGATTGGAATTTATCCAATCAAAACCACCTTTTTTCATGGTTTTAATGCCATCGTCCAATGACTACCTGGCGTCTTTTTTTGCGTCCTGGGTGACTGCCAAGAAGTCTGGCAATCAAATCAATCAATCCCTTCAAGGCGATCCTTTTTGTATTGGGGATGATTTATAGTGGGATATACCCATGACGGATCCATGGTGCTGGTATATATGCTAACATGACTGGGGTATATGGATGGGATCCATGTTACCATATATAGCAGCACCATGGATCCTATGGGATATAGTAGGTTTATTGAAGGTCATCCCACTTACATTATCTTACATTCAGATTCACCTTCTTTCCATTCGATTCTATCCCACTAAATCCCCATGCTTGGCTTTTGTACCCCCCATTGTTTGTTGGTAAAAATCCCATTTCTGGACTAACCCATATACCTCTGAAACAAGCAGGGCCTCCTTCATCCAACTCCAGATGAATCTCCGCGCAATTTTTAAGGACAAAGCAACATCAAATTGCCGAGACGACATCGCATGACGCGAACATTTGCAAACTCTATCTCCATACATCACATGATCACATGTGATATGATCGTACTATCAGCTACCAAAGCAAACAAACATCAACTATTGAAATCTGTTGAATCTATCGTGACTGGGCGCCTCACATTTCCCACATATCCAAAGCGCCAGACCCAAAGCCATGGCCTTCTCAGTTGGTTCCTCCGGACCTGCCCATGGTGAATCTATTTTTTTAGGTGGTGAATGAACTAATTATACCATTGATACAAGGTGGTGCCCCCAGTCGATAGCGTTCAGTTGGTTTATGACTCTAATAACTATGGATAACTATGGTTTATGGTACGCAAATAACTATAGTTAATGGGGTTTATAAACCAACTTATAACTGGGGGGCACCACCTTGATAGCAAAAGATAAAAATACTAAAACAACTAACAACGGTTGACCCAGATCACTGTAGTCAAGGTCCGTAGAAGATATAGATACACAAAGGATGCAGATCGTGTTTGAGTGAACAGATGTATGTATTGGGATCTTTTGGGATGCAAGGTATTGCAGATCGTTGGATCTTCCGTCGAAATCAAACATCTATCATGCTCTGAGATCTGAACTATATCTCTGATCTCTAGAATTCTGTATATTAACTATGTTTATGAACGATTGAACATTTTACTTAAGAATGATATATATATATAAATATTAATTCTCTGATCATTCTACAATTCTACCATCATGAAATATATCTATAGTTAATATTTATGTCAGACCCCAATTCATTGCATTTGATCACTGATGATCACTGGGATCCCATGGGATGTTTTTCTGAAGGAGCCCTTAGGGCCCTTGGCCTCAAAATGCTTGGGTGTGTCATGATTCATGATTCTCCGGGTTACAGTAAGTCACACGTAGACATAGTGGGCTAGTTCTGCCTGGTTTGGATAATGAATGGATAATGAATGTAGAACACGTGAAATGACAATTCAAAAGCAGGCACTTGGATAATGAAGAGCCAACAAACACAAGTCCATGTCAGTATCTGCTCCACAGACTACACAAAGAAAGCACAAACAAAATCATAACAGCCAGCTTGGGGGTCCAAAGGTACTGTTTGGATCCACGCCCAAAGAAATTCTTTGAAGTGTATCCTGGACGCCAACCAACGTTGAAATCAAGTTGTATCCCACAGATAAAATCCACTTCGTAACCAGCTCAGCTCATCATGGCCCATCTAACCCATCGCACCTGGTATATGCAGACCCCAACTGGCAGGTGGCAACATGCGATAAGCACCTCAGAGCTCACGGGCCTAAAACGTATGTAGCTTGGGGCAGTTGGGGTCACCCTCTGGAAACCAAACATGGCAATGGAACATATCCTATTTACAATTTATAGATCATCTTCGCTATATGGGGATTTACAATGCCATGGTTGATTACCGGAGGGTAAAAGTGAAGGAAGAACCATGCTTATATGGGGCCCATATGCCAAGTTCTTGGGGTTATTACCATGGTGTTGGAAACATCGCTGCTTTAGACCCCAACTGCACCGCCAAGCATTTTGCAAAATGCTTGGGCGAAACGCTCATTTTGTATCACTATACTATAGTATGTTGATGAGGATATACCCGAATGCTGCATATTGATGGAACAATTATCAACAGTGCCGATTGCCCCAAAAAATGCATGAGCATTGGATAAATGTTGGAGGCGTCTACCAGGAATGAAGGATGGGAGGGGGCCCCCGGGGCTGATAAGTCTTGGGGGGTGGGAGCCTTCATAGCTACTCCTTGACGTAAATGGTGTATCAACTAGTGTCAAAAGGTCTCAAATCCCCTAAAAGCTAAACTCACAGCCCTTTAAAGGTAAAGTGACATGCCTTGGCATCTGGCCTCCCAAAACCTACAAATGTCAAGAAAATGTTGCCTGGAGCGATGATGGTTGGTATCCTTCAGTTGTTCATTGCCTGGAGACACTGGCTGCTTGGTGTTGATCGCTTCTCATGTTGAAGATGCAACTGTACAGCATCTGCAGCCAGAAAAACACCTCTGCTTCGAAGGTTCCCTCGATGACGGATTCTTGTTGGACGCATCAGGGTTTCTTCAAATGGGGGATCCCCTTTTGAACCATGGGTGTCTAACTAAGATATGTTCCAATCCTTAGGCCATGGTCTTTCATAAGACAGCTTCAATACTCAAATGGTCCAATGGTCTAAGTACCTCTACCCTCTGGTAAATTAACATAGCTATGGAAAATCATCATTTTTAATGGGTAGATCCACTATAAATGACCATTTTCAACAGCTATGTTAAATTACCAGAGGGTATCTTAGGAAACCTCCATATGCATCAAACCCACATCTAACGGTGCCATAGCATCAAGCCGCATCGAGCCGATGCAGAACTTCACCACCAACTCATCATGGAGCGTTGTTTTGGTGCCAGTGATATCATCCCCATCCAAGGGTGAGTTCAAACAATCCCCAAACACATCAAAAAACACCATGAACATGTTTTATACCCCATATATATATATATATATCATTGGTGTTATACCCAACTAATATTATTATATATATATCCCACTAACTGGTGATATACCCATAATGTAACTGGTGTTATATATATATATACTACTATAGTTCCTGGTTGGTGGTTTCAACCACCGTGAATAATTAATATGAAAGTCAATGGGAAGGATGACATCCCATATATTATGGAAAATAAAACATGTTCCAAACCACCAACCAAATACATACTGTGGATGGGCCAGCGAAATCCTGTACCAGTTGATAGATGGTCAACATCCCATCATTTATAGGGTGTCAACCATCCAATGTGCAGGATTTCGCAACCATCCACAATATTTCGGACATGAAAACCAACTCAAAGTGCCGGAGAACTCCCAGGACTCTGAGTGCCCCGCGTGCGCCAAAGCACTCCGTCATGAGACCTCAGCGCCCAGGGTCACTTTGTGAGCCATCTCTGGGAACAAGTTCGATTCAGCAAAGTGGGTACTTAAATGGGCCATGGGATTAACTAACTGGTTGGTAACTGGGGGTTTGTTATCCTCAAACAATCCCAATGAAATAATCCATGGCTACTAACTAGTTTTCACTAACTCCATGGCCCATCTAAGTACAACAATATGAGCCATGCATGGTTATTGATGCCTAGTGAACATTCATAGAGTAGGTATGGATAGACTCTGCATTCAGTATAGTAAAACACTGGGTGTCATATTGGGGTCTTTAGGCCGCTGGGTATATCTGTGTTGATCTGCTTTTTCCTACTGCTTAAGGGCATGTGATGATTTTGCATGGGTCCAACCTAACCACGCAGAAGGAGACCCCCTATCAGTAAGGGATTAAATACCACCAACAGCCGCTACTATGGCTTATCAATCCTCCAATATATTTGGGGGTTGCTTTCGTGTTTTTTTTAACCCACAGGAAGAAAGGGCTTGAAGCAAAAGGTATATTTTGGCACGGCACTTTTCCCGTCTCTAGATTCTCAAGATGCCATTGAATTTCTAGCACAACCAAAAGCAGCAACAAGACATGTTGTGTTCGCTGTAGCACATAGATAGAACAACATCAGGAAATACCAGGATGTATAGAATGGATTCTGGATGCATGTGGATGTCCACGGCCTAAGCACCAAGACATGAACTTGGTGTGTGCCTTCATCCCGCGTAAAATAAAAACGAAGTCGGTACTTGGATCAGGGATCCTTACCACTTCCGAGGGGACATATAAGGCAGCGTTGAAGGTCATTTAACACGCGATCTCAATATTTTTCATGTCCCTGCCATTCCAAGAAACCAAAAATGTGTGCGTACAGTACATACATGTATTTTTAATTTGTATACAAAAAAATGATAAAACATGATAAACTGGTTGGTGGTTTCAACCCCTCTGAAAAATATTATATAGTCAGTTGGGGTTATTATTCCCAATATATGGAAAAGTAAAAACTGTTCCAAACCATCAACCAGTAAAAGTACCTAGACACCAGTTGTTGACCCTTTTTGAAGTTTCTGTTTACGTCTGGTACTCATACATCCATTTGGGTCAACCGCGGATATGGAAGCGAATGGAGGCTACATACTGATGGCCCGAAATACCAGTTATTAGATGTTATAAGTACTAAGAAGTCACCCCATTTATAGAATATATAATCCCACATAAATAACCAGTTATAACTTATAACTAATATATGGCCATAACAATGTAATAACTGTAGGTTTTCTTGCACCACTTGGGGGATCACCCACGAGTACCTGATTAGTAAGTGGGGTCATAACCTATGGGAGAAGCCACGCCTGGTTCCCTTTGAGATGCCATGGAAATTACCATTCGTTGGTGAAATCAGGTCAACCCCGGATTAATGTCAACCACGGTTTTTTAAAAAAAAGGGGGTACTCCTCCAATAGATCCAATTAATCTGATACTTAAATAAATGGTACCCTCCCTTTTTTAAACAATCGTAAACGGGGTTTAGAAAAATCCAGGGTTGACATTACATCCCATCAAGATCACCATTCGTTTCTGGTGAAACATTCCATAAAAAATCACCATTTAATTGTTGATGAAATCCCATTGAACCATCCAGTACTCAACCAGACCCCCACCTGGGCCCACAAACAGCTGTGCCCGGGCGCAACGACGCCGCGCCTCTTGGGATGAAAGCCGGCCTGGGATGGCACTTCGAATGGGGAAAAAATCAGCAAAACAATGGGAAAACCCATAGGAACACCTGGGAAAATGAAGGTTTAGTAGTGGTTTTCACTGTGGTTGATACTGGTATCTGAATAGGATTACACAATGAATTATTCAGAATAGGATTACATAATGTGTAAGTATATATATACACAGTATATATAACCAACAGAAATGGTGATCTGATGGGATGTTCATCGGATTTGAATGGGATCTTCTTCTGATGTACCGTCTGGTTCCAACTTGATGTTCCAACCATTTGTTGGTGAAATAAGATGAAATCATGGAATAATCATGGGGTACCCTCTGGTAAACATACAAAAAGCTATTGAAAATGGCAATTTATAGTGGATTTTCCCATTAAAAATGGCGATTTTCCATAGCTATGTTAGTTTACCAGAGGGTAAGTAACCAACACCATGATGTTTGGTGTTGCCATGAAGATGAGAAAGATGGATGGTATGATTTTGATGCTTAGTCCAAATGTTTCAGTTCAAAAGGACCTCAACCCCAAAAGTGTTCACTGGTCGCCAAGCCACACATTTCCGAGCTGCAGCATCTGCCAGGGCATTCGCTGTGTTGGAGGCTGTCTGAGCAGCGGCAGCTTGCAAACACATGTGATTTGAATTGATTGATTTGATGGTAATGTATTTAGCATGGCCATTTCTGATGATTTACCTACTGAAAATGGCGATGTTCCATGGCTACGTTCAATAACCATAGGGTAACCAATCATATTTGGGATTTACACTATGGTTACCCTATGATTATTGAACCATGGTTATTTAACATATATATCCATGGTTTTCAATATTTTACACTACGTTATGGCTACGTTCAATAACCCTGTCACCATGGCTGATTTAATGAGATTCAATGGGACGACAATTCAATCCGGAGATTCCTGCAGGGTGATGCCCCAAATTGTTGGACTTTATGCTATCCATCTGCCCATCTGTCCATTTGTCTATCTGTCTATCTATCTAGCTATCAATACATTGGGTGGTTCACTCAGGTTCATCCTCTTCGTGACCAGTCTGGTTTCTTGGTCTCCAGGCCTGTCCTACACTGGTCGAACCTCACGTCTCCATCTGCCTTCTGCTGGATCAGCTTGGCTATGGCGGGCATGAGCCACACTGCAGGTTTCCCTTCTTTGTGGTCCGGGTTCTCGATGCCCCATGGTCCTGATGTGTCCTTTGCCTCTGCCGCTGAGCTAGTTCGCTTCACCCGTATGTTGGACTCCTTGAGTTGCTTCTGCTCTGCGCTCGTCAAAGTCTCCCTCGGCAGTATGATGATGGCCGACTTTAGTCCCGTGTAACCATCTGTAAACCGTGATTTTTTCAGCGGGAAATGACATTCATCGCACCTGTGGCAAAAGAGCCTATGAACGCCAACAAAAACCAAGATCTACCCTCTGGTAAACTAACATAAGTATGGAAAATATCCTATTTCTATGGCCATTTTCAATAGCTATTTTGACATCACCAGAGGGTATATGGATGTCTATGGTCATCCCATTCCATGAAAAATCCTGAAACAATGGAAACATAGTCATGGGTACTATCCCTATGGATCCAAACACTTCCTGAGAAGATACTTAATCCCCCAAATCATACCCCAAACACTTCCTAAGAAGGTACTTGGATCCATAGGGTATAAATCCCTCAATATAGCCTTTTGTAAACGTTTACCAGCTATCTACGAATCACCAAGCTGGTGGGCTGAGATCCAACTCTGTAAGACTAACGAAGGTAGACACCCACTATGATATAGGGATCGAAACTAACAGTTATAAATAAATGGGTTTGTCTGAAAATAGTGTACCCCTACACCCAATGGTTAATGATCATTATCCCTACTAAATGGCTATAATTGGGGGTATACCCCATTTTCAGACATACCCAAATGGGATAAAATAACTCCTATAACTGGTTGGTTACTGAGGTTATACATCATTATAATCATATTATAATCCCAAAAAATAACTGTTAGTTGGGCCATCACTGTACACATTCAGAAACCATACTCCCTTGTACCCCAAATCAAAGGGCATTGCCCATGCAGAGCTTCGTTCTAACTTCAGACATCGCTGCACGCAAGGGTGAAACGATGTGAACCATCAGGTCCCACAAATGGTTCAAGGAAAAGTTTTCCCAGATATGATACCAGGTGGTGAGCTAAGTTGGCTTATAATATAGGTCAACTGATGGGTTTGTGGTGATGAGTCGTCACTGTAGTTAGGTGGGTGAAACAAAACCAACAAGCATTTCAGTGGGGGCGTCACCTCAACCAGCTTGCTGTGCCTTCCAGGGGGGCCAGTGAGTGTGCGTCAGCTTGGCCTAGGGCCACAGATTCACAGGTCCACAGCACCAAGGCATATATGGATCTAGCTCTACCTTCGACGTATTCGGTTCATGTCTTGGAAGGCTAAGTACCTTTGAAGGAAGCATGTGGATCCAATAGCGAAGCATAAAACGATATACACAGGTTGGTTTTTCACCACCAAAATGGGGTTCTAATCTTGAAGAAGGGCTTCTAGAACTGGGTATAGTTTCAACATTTGAAGGGGGTGCAACATTACTTTCAAGTGTGGTGACCAGTGGTTGGGAAAAAAAACTACTCCTCTTAATCTTCCCTCAAGCCATAGATACTTCCATTTTTTGGGGACCATCAGATTCAATCAGCAGCTTGTTTTGGGCCACATTCCGGGCGGCAAGCTGTGCGTACCTCTGTTGTTCAAATTATCCAGAAACATCAAACAAAAGTATCCGAATTAGGACCTTCACCATTTATATAACCTATAGAACCATGGATATAACCAGGGTTCACCGGCCAATCGCATGGCGATCGCTTGCGTGTCACCCCATTCATGTCAACGCATCGACCCCGATGGATCTGTTCATGGCGGACATAAGTTACCGCCATTGATATAACCTGTACAATGTGGGCCCCCCCAGTTATAAGTTGGTTTATAAACCTGATTAACTATAGTTATAAGTACCATAAACCATAGTTATTGGAGTTATAAACCAACTAGTTAGTAAATGGATTATTTCATTGGGCTTGTTTGAGGGTAACAAATCCCCAGTTACTGGACTAGTTAACTAACTCCATGGCCCATCTAAGTAGAAACGTTTCCCACAGCAATGCCATGTCATTGATGAATCATATCACAATCCATGACGGACAAAAACACAATAAACCATGCCCAAAAACACAATAAATGAGCGCTATAAACCAACTCATATTATGGTAGGTTTATGGCATTGGGTTTCTCACTTTATACAATAATCCATTCCACTCCATTGTATTACTTTTAGGATTGTTTCCCACACCAAAGAAATGCATTATGGATGAAACATATCCATTAACATCCCATATAATACATGTACAATAAGACAATAATTCAACTTAGTTTGCGAGTACCAAAGGGTAATCTATAGTTAAATTGTGTATTTTAAATTGTGTTTTTAGATGTTTTTTAGATTTTAAAAAACACCATTTAATGACCATTAAAGTTAGATGTCCCATTAAAAAAACATATTTTTTAGATGTAAAAAAACTATTTTTAGATGTAACAACACATTTTTTTAGATGTAACAACACCATTTTTAGATGTAACAACACCATTTTTAGATGTAAACACACATTTTTTAGATTAACAAACACAATCTTTAGATGTAACAACACCATTTTTAGATTTTAAAAATACAATGTTTAGATGTAACAACACCATTTTTAGATTAAACAACACCATTTTTAGATTAAACAACACCATTTTTAGATGTAAACAAACACCATTCTTAGATTTAAAAACACCATTTTTAGATGTAACAACACCATTTTTAGATTAAACAACAATTTTTAGATGTAAACAAACACCATTCTTAGATTTAAAAACACAATTATTAGATGTAACAACACCATTTTTAGATTAAACAAACACAATTTTTAGATGTAACAACACCATTTTTAGATTAAACAACACCATTAAACTTGTTTTTCGATGGCCATCTTGGATTCCGACCCATCCCCCGTCCGAGTGCCAGCCGCCGGCCGCTGTGATCTCGGGGACGCTGTGAGTTGGACGTGTCCCTGCGCAGCGGTGAACGCCAAAGATGTAGCCTAATCAAAACGTGGTACATGCAGTGCCCTTTATTACTGGCATAGTAACATTGATGGGATTTCATATATCATGAACTATTCCAGTTAATGGGATTAACAGTTATTAATGGGATTTCATGATATATGATCTATAAATCTTAGTTACAGCAGGTATCCCATGAATAACTGCAGCCAAGACTGGTGGGGTGTAGCTACTTCGTGTGGTTATGGTTTTAAAGCCCCTGGTGACTGGGAGAAATTGGGGCATTGCCCTCTTCTTCACCAATCATATCAAAGTGAGGATGAAAGGTAAAACCATCTTCTTCAGGGGTCATCGAAGTGAGGATGAAAGGTTGGAAGAGGTTTTGATGACCAAACATATCATCGGTTCATATACCATGATAGAGAGTTGGGGGCACAAAGCCGGCAGTCACGTACAAGAGAACATGATGGGATTGCAAACAAATCAAACAATGACAATCTCAAACGTGGGTGTCTTGAAACGGCATACGTTCTTCCATGTGGTGCAAGTACCACATTCCATATCACCAGCAACGATTGGAGACTGGATCCACAGCAATGAACTTCAGCAAAGATTCATTTTGCCACATTTTGGTGACCCAAAAATGTTCAGAATCAAAAGTAGACTAACCGTGCTGACTGTTCTTCTAATTGCGACTCTCACGACATATTTACGGGTTTTTTTCGGTGTTTCGTTGACCAACCACAGCCGATCCCCAGGGTGCCATGCAGGCCCATGCCTCTCTAGACAGTGGACGACCGTACTCCCGCAAAATGCGGCCCCGAGCAGCGAGTGGGCAATGCATCACCTCGGCCGCGGCTTGAGAAGTTGCTGGCGTAGGAGTGGAGGATCATGGATGTTTGTGACCATTACAATTGGATGGGCTATAGAGTTCGTCAATTGATTCTATTAGCGAGGTATATTGGCGTTCTTATCGGGTTGTAACTGGGATATGGGATAACTTCACAAACCTGCTTACTGACTCATTTAAGCGAACATCCATGGTTGAAACCCTGATTTTTTTCCAAAGTGGTTATCGTGGTTTCCTCTAGTTGTTCCAAATGATTATGGAGATGTCCCGTAAATGTTCCTTTCAACCAGTTCTGGTATAGTGATAACTACGTTGTTTCTAATTCGAAGCACTGATATCATAAAGAGTAGTTGTTTGGTTCATCAATCCGGCCATCAACATGGGGTACTGTAGTTTAATTAACGTAGTTGCATCGTTCATATGGGAGTTTCCCTCAATGGGGGTACAAAATGGATGGTTTGATGGAAAATCCTATTAACATGCATGATTTGGGGGTATACCCCCTTTTCAGGAAACCTCCATATTCATCCACATGTTGCATTTTTCAATATTCCAGCAATAAACATTCATGGGGTCTCATGGGTTAGTTGAGAATTATGCTGCTGGCGATCATAGTTGCGCAATGTTGCCCACTACTGAAGGAAGCTGTGCAAAGTCAAACACAACTTCATATAGTGCCTTTCAATGCTGGTAAACGCAGCGATTGCCTGTCACTTTGAGTGTCAATGTGGAGGTTTCCTAAGTCCATTTTTGGGTACCCCATTTCATCATCCATTTTTTGGTGCTGGATTTTCCATCATACCCTAGTGCTCCAAATACCCTCTGAGGAAGTGTTTACACCCCAAAAAACCATTTCAAATACAGTCTCAGGTGTCTGGAGCTGTAGGGATAAAACCATCCAGCTAGTTTTGGTATCCCAGTGACGGAAATTGATGGAAATCCGGTGCCCTTTCCCAAAGGTCGCAACCGATCTCCACCGCTGAGCATGGCACCATAGCAGGCGATCCGTCCAGCGGCGAGGTCGTTTTGCAAAGAGATCGCACAGTGAAGGGAAACACCTTTGGATTAACTATGGAAAATTCACAATTTTTAATGATACTATAATCATTGATTTGGTGTATGGTATTTAACAATAATATATCAAGTAAACCACATTAGCATATATAGGTAAATCAACTATTTCTATGGTCCTTTTCAATCATAAACCACTCATAATTTGCCAACTGTGTCTGAACATGGGGGGACCTAAACTAAACATGATCTTTTTTCCCCACCTGCCAGGTGAGGGTTGCTAGCTCCTCCTCCGCCTCCTCTGCCTCCTCCGCCTCCTCACTCGCCGCCTCCTCCTCGCAGTCCAGATCCCAGTGGGCACAGCCGGACCTCCACCGCGAGCTCCAGATCCCAGTGGGCACTGCCGGACCTCAACCGCGAGTTGCAGATCGCAGTGGGCACTGCCGGACCTCAACCGCGAGCTCCAGATCCCAGTGGGCACTGCCGGACCTCAACGGCCAGATAGAATGCCAGAAGATATGCCAGATAGAATGCCAGAAGATATGTCAGATAGAATGCCAGAAGATTTGCCAGTAAGAAAATGTATAAATGTCATGGTGGGGATCACACGAAGTAAAGTAATTTATGGCTGAATGGGAAAATGGTGATTACATATATATATATATACATAGACACCAAATGTTGAGGCACCCTATGTTCAGACTGTATGAAGAGCCCGACTTTTGACTTCGAGTGTTAAACATGACCAATAGCATAGGGTGCCCGAAACAATGACTCACATCTTCCTAATGAGACATGGACCTGACTCCTTCTCACTATATACTTAACAGTAATGTAAAACCATCAGAGTCACCATCCCAGAGTGATTTTTATAGATGGTATAATAACCATTCCCAGGAAAATGGGTGGTTTATGACACGGTAAACTACCCACATTTAGAAATGGTATTAAATCATATGTATTTATCTGCCATAAACATCCATAAACCATAGTTAAGCCACTCATATCTCAACTTAGCTATCTTGCTTATATCTTGCTTTCCATCTATGTTCAAAGGCCCACCACCCGCCGATGGCTTGTTGTCACTCGATCAAGCTCGAGCCAGCTCGCGGATCGCGAAGATTCCATCGTTGAACAAGGGGAGATTGTAGAGTGATGGCCCAACTAACAGTTATTTTTGTGGGATTTTCATGGCATATATAATATATAATCTCAGTTACAGGAATTATTTCATCCCATTTATAATTGTTAGTTGGGCCACAACGGTACCAACCTAGGAAAAATAAGGACATGTCGCCGGAGTTTATCAACAACTGAAGATAGGTTGAGGATCAGACCCAAAGTGGAGTTCCGGGTCAGAAAGAGACATGGGCAATCCACCAATACCAGGATTTTGCAGATGGCAATGCAATAGCTGAAGGTTAACATGTCAAGAAAATTGATGTCCACAGCCTACACGGAGTTTGATGTTCGATTGATATTGTCAAATCCGTGGAATCACTCAAGAAACATCAGCTGATCCTTGTAACTCCTTGCTGCGACCATATGGTGGTAAACACTGAATGACCATGTGATGTGGACACCCCAGGGACAACCGTGAAACATTGTCACCTGTCTTAATTCACCATGGCATGTTTCTGGAATTGGTGAAGGGAACACGGATGAGCCCTCCTGCCTGTCATGCTGGGTTCGCAACGTGGCAACACATACCAGAAGACGTGGTGGTATGGTATCCGTGGCTAACACATCAGTTTGTCTTGAAATTGTGAACAGCCTATTGAGCCTACTTAGATGGGCCATGGGATTAACTAATTGGTTAGTAATTGGGGATATAACCTCTATATCCCAATTACAATCCATTTACTAACTAGTTAACTAACTCCATGGCCCATCTAAGTATTGAATTTGAAGTGCCCAACAATTTCGCAGGATTTTCTTTTCCTCCGGCACTTCCCCAGGGCGCAGCTTGGAAACATTTTTTGGCCCCTCCGCATCAACACCTGATAAGGGCTGGGATGATCACGGAGGCATACAGGGCTGTATGAAAACATCATGATTAAGCATCGATTCCCTATATCTACAATGTGGGGCCCCCAGTTGATAGCTAAGTTGGTGCACATAACTCCAATTTCACTATGGTTTATGGTACGCAAATAACTATAGTTAATGGGGTTTATAAACCAACTTATAACTGGGGGGGGGCCCATTGTAGGGTAGCCCCAAATCATCCAAGTCATTTGACCATGACTTACTATTGAAACCTAGGGCCACTTGAGGATCCCCCATGTTAAGAAATCCCCAAATGGCAATTCTGTGGTATACCCTTCTTCTTTGGCAAAGCCTCATGTCAAGACTGGCTAATCGCACAAATTGGATGGCCAACAGTGGAAAAGGATCATATTTAGCCATATTTATGGTTTATGGTTCTTAAATCTTCACACATACCCATTGACGGATTAGCAGTGTCAAGCAAGGCAACACATTGAAACTCTGATTCCTGAGATAGGGTCCATTCCCCAATCATGGCTACCCTTAGCCCTTCACAGAAATTGTCTTACAGTAGGACCTCGTTTTATTCAATGGAACACATGGCAAACAGTAACCCCTTAGCCCATTTTTTTCGATTGTTTTTTTGCATGAAAGGTCTGTCCCCTTAGCCAACCATAAAAAAAAAGCCATCAAAATATCCACCGCCCAACCATGCACCTTCTTCCATTCCGCGTCTCAAGAGCCGTTGATGCATCTCCTCTCTGAAAAAAAAAGAGGTCATGAAACATGACGAGCTGGTAGAAAAGCACCAGCTAATGATGGTTTTCATATGGGCCAAGCATGGTAACATATTGAAAAATCATCTACAAATGGTGACTTGTCTCATCAGCATCAGCAGGGGGTGCGTTTGGGGATTTAGTGATATCCCATGATATCCCCTGATATCCGCTTGGATAAGTGACTATGGCCCTGGTACCTTAGTTTTTCCTTGCTTGGACATGGCTGACCTCAGATATCTCACCGTAAAACAAATACTTCTAGGGATTGAAGATCATTTCCATTAACGTGGCTCAAAATCAACAAACATAGAAACAAAAACACAGACCGACTCCAACCAACATTTTCAGAATTAATTTCCGATGTCTGCCGGTTGGATATGACATTAAATCCTCAAGTTTTGGTGAAGTCTTTCATGTTCAAGCAAAATTGATAGTTTTAATTCCATTCCTCATTCTTGGCAGGTTGACGTATGGTGATCCATTTTTGCTGATTCTTGCCCGTTTCCATTTTTTCCATCAAGGTACTCATTCCCGGAAACCATTCCCCTAATCTTACATACCACCCAAAACGAAACCCTGGTTTAGCATTCAATCTGTTCAATTTGGGAGCCAATATGGAATATTTAATTATATCATATATTGGCTAAATATGGCCAAATATTCCTTCTCATTTCACGTTGGCTTAACAATTTGTCCAACCATTTTTGATAGTGAAACCACTGTTTCAAATGGGCGACGCTTGAATGTTGAATCTCATTGACTCCCTAACAGCTCCAAACGCCGAGACTGAAACTGTATGGATGGAGTGGTTTTTTGGTGTCTGTTTACACCTTCGGATTGAGGGTAGGAGCACTAGGGAATCATCAAAATTCTGGGCAAATCCCAACCCCATCTCTGGAGAGGTTTTTGAACCCATGAAAGCACCTGATTCTTGGATTCTTGGTGAACTCCGGTCGTTAAATGCTTAAATCCATTTCAATCCCAGAAAAAATCACGATGTTTCCTTTGTTTTTCTCATATCTTATGGAAATCATCATTGTTCTATATGCTTTTCCCATATAGTTTTTTTCCCATATAGTTGTTTTTGTTCCATAGTATTTTCCCATGGTTTTACCAGGAAAATCCACCATGTTTCCGACCCCGAAACAGGCCCAGCTCCGCAACGCTCCGCAACGCTCCGCAGCTCCTCCAACTGCTCTGCCGCTTTCTGTGCCGCCGCTTGGCCCGTGCAGGTCGCCAGGGACGCCACCTCGAGGCCTCGGGCCCCCAGTCGAGGTCGCGTTCAGTTGGGGCCCACATAACTCCAGTTTCACTGTGGTTAACTATGGTTTATGGTACGCAAATAACTATAGTATTCATGGGGCCCCACATTGTAGTTAGCAAATGGATCACTGGTTGGTGGTTAACCATCTTGAAAAATGTGGAAGTCAATGGGAAGAATTATCCCATATATTTTGATTCTTATGCAAATGGATGATGTTATTGGGATTTTTTGGGCGTATGAAAACATCATGATTGGGGCTGGGATGATCAAGGAGGCATACAGGGCTGTATGAAAACATCATGATTAAGCATCGATTCCCTATATCTACAATGTGGGGCCCCCAGTCGAGGTCGCGTTCAGTTGGGGCCCACATAACTCCAGTTTCACTATGGTTAACTCTGGTTTATGGTATGCAAATAACTATAGTATTCATGGGGCCCCACATTGTAGTTAGCAAATGGATGATGTCATTGGGATGGTGCAATAACCGGCAATAACCATCTTGAAAAATGTGAAAGTCAATGGGAAGAATTATCCCATATATTATGCAAATGGATGATGTCATTGGTTTTTTTTTGGGGTAAAGCCCAGTTACCATAGCCAGGAATCGCGAAAAAAAAACATCTAAGTAGATAAAACATTGATGATTAAACGTAGGAAAATGATACGGAAATCGTGGAATATCTCTAAGTTCATTCTGCGTGCCTCGAGTCGCTTCCTGACGCCATGTGCAAAATCCCACATGGGCAGCTGCAAGCATCTCACAGATCTTAGTAGGGTATATTCCTTAGTATATATGAGGAATATCTATGAATATATTATAAAGCCTTACAATTGCTTAGATCTACTCTGAGTTTGTGGAGTTGTGATTGATTATATAGCCAGACTTTACCAGCAGAAATAGGGATCTAAACCATTGCTCACATGATTTGAATGGAAAGACTGGGTGTCTACTTAGACTATTCCATGATAATTAATCCCGTTCAATGGCTGAATGCAACCACTCTATTACAATTCAATGAATCACCTACAAACCAATACTGAATGATACTCAAGGCATAAGCAGCATTGCCTTTCAATGGCAGAATAGTGGAAGAGTTCTGTGCCGATGTTCCAGTACCATATTCCACATTTACCTGGTTGGTGTTTTCAACTCCTTGGAAAAAAAACATAAGTCAGTTGGGTGTATTATTCCAAATATATGGAAATTCATAAAAGTCATGTTCCAAACCACCAACCAGTTACTTAATGACGCTTACCAGCTCAAGATGCCTCTACTGTAACGACCTACTTGGTACAAGTCTTGGCAATCTATGTCGAGATGTTTCGTGTCGACACGTGGCTTGTCATATCCGTGAATCTTCGCCTCTGAAAAGTAGGAAAATAGGCAATGGAAAAGTGGGAAAACGCGGGAAAACCATCCTCATCTGGAGAAATAATCACCATTAATCACCACAGTCAGTGAATGTTGAAAAATTAGAAATTTGCAAGAAACAGTATATACGGTAATTAAAGAATCACCATCAAACATCGCACCCGACAAACCTTGGTAAACTATAGTCACCCTAAAATCCGCAATGAAGACAATCAAGGCAAATGCTGATCATGGACCTGGATAGTGCCACTTCCCTCTCCGTGTTCGTTTTCTAGTTTTGGACAGGCTTCAAACTCTTCTTCATTCCAGTCAGTCAAATCTAGACTGTAGGCTTTGTTGGCTCTTCATTTTTGTAAAAGCGAGGACAAGGTGGCTGGCAATCCAGCTGAGAGCTTTATCCAGCTGAGAGCTTTAAGAGTGCTGAGCCGGCTGAGACTCGAAGTGCTTAAATGCCACTAAATCACCATTCACCAAGGTTCAAAATGCACCCTCCATAATTATATATCATATTAATGTTATGAGTGGGATATTAACATTAACACTTATAGATATGAATGTTATTCAGTAATGTTCATACCCCATTACTAATCATGGTTAAGAACAGCCAAACTCACCTGGTAAAAATGACATCCGACTCCGACAGCCCCATGCCTGGCATATCCCTTGCCGTCATCCGCACATTTGCCAAGGGCGCGCCATCCTCCGGCCCTGGTGGCTGCGGCCGGCGAAAAGGGAGGTTTAAGGCGGAGGTGCCACAGAAACGAATGATTGGACTTAAAGATTGGTAAGTGAAATTTATTGGGAACACATTTGAGGTTTTAATTGTAGAAAGTGATTGGAACCATAGAAGTTGATTGGGGTGAAGTGACTGTAGAAGTGGGGGGTGGATCCCCATTTGCAAGCATTTATAACTATTCAATCCGTCTGCACAACTCATTTCATCACCATCCCTGTATATTTTATATATTCCAGAAATGTCCTGTGGTTTCCCATGATCTTCCCATTGAAAACCTCCATTTACAGGGCATACCCCTATTTTCACATGGTTTTCCCATGGTTCTGCCAGCCATCAACGGGCCACTGCGCCCCGGCACCCCAGCGGCACCTTCGGCCAGCTGCAGGGTCAGCAGCAGCGGCACGCCGCAGCCGATCCAATGACGGATGCGCTTCCCCGGCGTTTCATCCTCCAGGTCACTTTTCACCTGGGGGCTTTTTCGGGGGGCGAAGAGGGGGGGATTTTGAATGGTGGTTTTGAATGGAGTGAACATGAGTGAACTATGGACTTCAATGGTGATGTCATAGGGATTTCAAAAGGGAACATGGTGATTTTTGGTCGGTTTAAACTGAGATTTCATGGGATATGGTGATGTTCATGGAATTTAAACATGGAATAATGTGATTTGATGGGATTTAAACGGGGAATATTGTGATTCCATGGGATTTAAACAAGCACCGTGAGTTTTTTTGCGATTTAAAGAAGGACACATGTGATTCTATGGGATTTGAACCAGAAAAAACATGTGAGTTCATGGGATTTGAACAAGGGGAATGCTGATTTCATGGGATTAAAGACATGAACATGATGATTTTCATTGTGACTTATTCATCTCTCTCTCTATCTATCTATCTATCTATCGATCTATCGATCTATCGATCTATCGATCTATCGATCGATCTATCTATCTACCTATCTATCTATCTATCTATCTATCTGGTGATCCTGTGATTTTAACAAGAATAATTGTGATTTATATTGATTTTTGGGATGTAAGGAAGGAACATGGTGTTTTGTCGTGGGATTTAAAGAAGAACAATTGTGACCCGCAAGCCATCCACAACCTCCTTGACAAAGGGCATATCCTTCAGGTTGGATATCAATGCGCTTACTATTCTCCTTGGACTTCATACAGTGATGGCCCTTAACAGTTATAAATGGGACTATAATGAAATATAACCTCAGTCATAGGAGTTATAATCCCATTTATAACTGTTAAGGGCCATAACTGTAGACGACAGCTTTATCGTTTCACGCTTCTCCGGCTCTTTCTCGACAAATGTCTTGCCACCGCCTTTCAACTTCAAACGGAGGACATCCTTATACTCACCCTGCTCATCCTCAAAGGGCTCATCAGTAGGCCACGGTGTCATGGTCTGAAGGTGAATGAGCACAAAACCATCCCACGGAATGCCAGTGACTTTTCATGGGATTTACCCTCTGGTAAACTAACATGACTATTGGAAAATCACAATTTTTAATGGGAAAATCAACTATTTCTATGGCCATGTTCAATAGCTTTTTGTATGTTTACCAGGCCGGGAAAACACGAAAAAGTGATAAAGACTGGGACAGAAATCCACTAGGCTGGTCCATCCATATTACCAACGTCAACAAACTGACAAATTCACCCATGAGTCACCAGAGTGTATCCACTTCAAGTATCTTCAAGTCACAAGTTCACACTCTGACCTGTTTCTTAAAATAGATATACCATGGTATACCCACTTAAAAATCCCAATTGCTTTCCGCATCAAGTACTTCGTCCCCATAACCTGCATCCAGGCACTCGAATGGAGGAGGACTCCAACTCTTTCGTCGCCTCCTTCTGCGCACGGTCCCAACGCTTGGGCTTACCGCTTTTCGCCAGATGGGAAAACCCAATTCCAATGGGGAAAAACCTACGAGACTCAATGGTGGATTCAACGGAATATTTTTGGAATAATGGTGGATTCAATTCCGGACTCAATGGGATTTCATGACCTTATTCCAATGGGAACATAAGTCACCAAAAATGAAAGAAGGCCATGTTGGAACCTCGTTGGAACCCCGTTGCGAGGTCGCCATCATTTGCCCTTCATTCAAGGAATTGATCCGTCTAGAGTCTAGGTGAATCCTGAAAAGTTTGGCCATTTGGAGTATGGCCAACGTTTATATTGTGTTTAATATTGTTTTACAATGTTTTACATATATGTCGTGTGTTGCTTACATCCACTACAAATGGATAAATTTGAAGCCAGATAATGAATAAGCATTTCAAGTGACCATAAAAACATATATAAACCCCATGAAGGTAATAATCAATCAGCCATTAACATCCATTAACAGTATTACAGTATCATTCAAAATCCCCCAAAAACCCAAGGCGCCGTCCGCCAATTGACCTGGCACCAGAACACCAGTCGCTGCAGCGACCGCTGTGTCGCGTCCTGAGGCAGGACCAGTGCCCGACACTGCCCCGACAGCTGGGCTGAGATACCGGTGATAAATTCAATGGATTGGTTGAAGGGAAAATCTACAGGAAACCATGTTTTTTTTATGATAAATGGGAATGTAATGGGAATCTCATGGGAATGTGAGCTATTCCTCTCACCCCAACCATAGTGGATAAAAACCCTAGAAACAAGTTGTTTCTTTGCTTATGCATGGGGTATCATGGGGTTGTCAATACATAAATGCGTAAGTCTCACTGACTTATCACTGGTAAAGGGCCAGCGGTGAGATCCTGTTACATCACTTCAAGATAGATTGTATTGTTGCTTCAATTGAGCTATTAAGACTACTCCTATCCGTCCCTATGCAATCTTATTGTACTAGTTACTAGTTGGTTGAACACGGTTTCCCTTTCATATGAGTTAGCTCATAATCCCCAATGACCAGGTAGTATAAGTCCGTATTTCATAACCAATCAGCCATCATTTTCAAGTTTGATCTAATGAAATCTCCATGTTTGATGATAAAATTCCATATAAATCCTTATAATAATAAGCCATCAACCATGATTTATCACTTATATCCCCATATATTTTAGTTAAACTATCGCAAAACCACTATATTCATGGGTAAAACCTTATTTCATAACCCATCAACACGGCTATCCTTTTAAGGGGCTTCATTTCATCCTTGCGCCATCGCCAAGCCTTGCTGCGATCCTGAAAGCGGGTCATTGGGATGATCAACACCTGAGACCAAGATCTGGATGTGATGGAAATGACCAATGGATGTATACAATGTGGCCCCCCCAGTTATGTTTGCTGGCTTATAGACCCTATGAAAATTATAGCTATAAGATTGTAAGTATCTTAAACCAAGATTGACCTAGAATACAATGCGGCCCCCCAGTTACTGGTTGGCGGTTGACCTACCCCCCTGAAAAATATGAGTTAGTCAGTTGGGGTTACTATTCCCAATATATGGAAAAAACATGTTCTATATGTAAAAAACATGTTCCAAACCACCAACCAGATTATGTTTGTTGGCTTATAACCCCTATGAAATTAAAGTTATAAGTATCTTAGACAAAGATTGACTTAGAATACAATGTGCGGCCCCTAAGATAGCTAAGTTGGTTTGTAACTCGAAAAACTATGGTTTATGATACACAAACAACTATATTCAATGGGGGGCCCACATTGTAGTCATTTCTGGAGTAGATAGAATATGGACATTTCAAAGATTATCACCATTAAAATTTGCAAAATATTGAAAATTCCATATTCTATCTACTTCAGGATGAGTATAAGTATAAGTATAGGGAATATAAAATATATACAGTCATATTATAAGGGCTTCAATGGGTCATGATTAATCTAGGCAATTCAACCCAAGTACCACACAACAGGGATTTGATAAACCGTTCAGAGTGGCTCGTGGTTACATGGACAATCTTAGATGGGGCCGTGCAAGCAAGAAAACGATAGAAAACAGATAGAAAGCCATAGTGTACCTATAGAAATCCACAGAAAACACATAGAAATCCATATAGAACACCCACAGAAAACCGTAAGAAAACCCTAAGCATCCCCCAGGGTGCACCTGCAAGGGCGCCACACGGCAGGGCCACAACGGGCCCAGGTGGTCGCCGTGCTGCGCCAGGCTAGCACCCACGAGGCGTATGCTGCAGGAGAAATGGCTCAGGGAACAGGCCTAGGGAGTGGTTTCCATGGGTTTTCCCGGGAAAATCTGAATTTGACCAACAAAATTTAGGGAAACCAGAGTGGGAACATGTTTTTTTTTACCAACAAATGATGATATCAATGATATCAATGATATCTATGATGATTTATTGATTTCCATGTACGCAAGGCGACGCCAGGTTGCTAAGGTCATACCAAACCTGCAGTATCACATGGCACACGCACAGGACAGGCACCCTCTATAAGGGTCTCAAATAATCAAGTGTAAATCCCCTATTAAACCACAGTTTCTGGGGTGTGTGTTATACGAGGGGAAGAGATTACTGAATATGAATATATATATATATATGTGTATATATATATATATGTATATATATATATATGTATACATATAATTACAATTATAATATATATAATTATATATATATGCATCTAAAGAAAAGGATCAACATATCAAACTACCATTCGAAGTTTACCCATGGGCTCTCAAATTTGCAGCTGCAAGTACATAATTCTCAGCGCCACCGGTCTCTGCATTTGGTGCACAATAGGTCCTGGGCTGGTTCAGAAGTTCTGAAATTCTGAAAGGCATTGGATGAGATGATGCTACACTTATGATATCCATTGTGCTGGGATTATCTGCATAACAAAATGACTAGGGGGTCGATGTGTATCTCGTGTTCCTAGGGATTACAACTAATGCAACTTATATATCCATACTAATCTCTTCCCTACAAGGCGCCATTATTGGTTTCCACAGATTCCATCGTATTTTAATTTTATCCCCATCGGCATCCTCAATACATCATCCCGCCAAATCACCATAGCTTCTTGTCCCAAGACTTTGGTTGGTGAACTCTCCCACTATGCTTTCAACACCCATAAAATGACATGATTTTGTTGTTTTAAGTTTTAACCCATTATATACAATATCCCCACCTTTATCACCAAGCAATACACCCAACTTGGTTTCTGGTGCATGCAAACTAGGGTGTATGGTGATGAAAAACATATAGTTTGGTGGGTAACATAACTAACAAACATAAACCAACTTCCCACCTAATACTACCATATATAGTTATATAAAACTATAGGTATAGTTATACGTGTATATATATATATAACAACTATATACAGTTATACTGTATATTGATTGGCTTCTTTACCCTTAAACATGAGCTATGTCATTGGTTACAAACCAAAAAGAAGCTGACCAACTCGTCCAACCAAGTCCATCGGGGTCATATTAGTGGATGCTTAAATCTACAGTTTTGGGTGCTTAAATCCCATTGAAATCAACAGCTTTGATGGATAAAACATGATCAAACCGACAGGAAAATCCACCATGTTTGCCAATGAAATGCCCAACAAATTGGTGGCCGCTGAGTGACACCTTGAAGTCTTCCGCCACTTTCTTCTCCAGCTGCTTGACGGCGGCCACTTCGATGGCGTCGCCGGAGCGGATCCGCCTGAGAAAAATGCCGCCGACATCGGGGGGCAAAATGGTGATTTCATCGGTGTTAACTATGAAAAAATGGTGATTTAATGGGATTTAACCAAGAACAATTGTGATTTCATCGGGTTTCATTATCCCTATAGTGCTCCAGTTATACGTTCTCCGTTCCGGTGTAAACAGAGCCCAAGTTAAACAACTCCATCCAAAAAAAGTCTCAGTCTCGGTGTTTGGAGCTGTACTTAGATGGGCCATGGGAAGCGGATTAGCGATTCATGGTTAGTAAATGGATTATAATTGGGATATAGAGGGTTATATCCCCAGTTACTAACCAGTTAGTTAATCCCATGGCCCATCTAAGTAGATGGACCATGGGATTAGGGATTCATGGTTAGTAACTGGGGATTTGTTTAACCCCCTAATTAAATCCCAATGAAATGATCCGTGGCTACGAACTGCTCGTTTTCCCGATGCTCCGTGGCCCATCTAAGTAGGCTATGACAAAAATAATGTGATAGGAAAAACAATCTAATTAGAGTGAAAACACCAGTTACTGACTATAGTATTTCCTGGAATTAAAGCAACAGGAGTTGTGTTTTGACTCTAATGGGATTCAACCGATTCACAGTTTTGAAGGTTGTAGTCCGTACTTATGGTGGATGTATCTATCGGTCAGATTCTCCAAGACACATTTAAAATAATATAAAGTACACCTGGATCCTTTGAGACTTAAGCCTATTAAATTGGTTAAGGAGCCACACGGTCCTTTTGATGCTTGCTTATGCAGGGTCTGTCAGCTGTTTGAGAGAAGAGCGACAACTGCGCAATGCCATTATTATGGGCTTTCCTACAAGCATTGAACAATCAATCTCTGAATTCTCTCGTTTCTATCACATCCACCGTTTATGATACCTGTGTGATACTTATTCCAATGTGTTTTCCCATCAGTTTGGAGCTTTCGGGGGGTGCCCAACTTCTGAACACCAATCCCAGGTGCACTCGGACACTCTGCCGGCCGTCTCCTTCGCTGTGAACGAAAGCATTCAGGCAGAAAAGGTCTCGACATAGGCCTGGGATTCTCTTCATTCGGAGTGCTTGTTTTTTTGGCGATTTCAAGAGATTTCAATCGTTTAAGCCCCAAATTGTCATGCTTTAATTTCTCTAGCTCAACTGTCTTTTTACAACTACCTCTGACTGAAGTAGTTGAGATCCTGATTCTAGAACCATTAGCCATCAATACTTGCGTTGTCCTTTTGTCCAGATTGTCTTTCCTGGAAACAGAAACAGGAAAGAATTATCATAATGTTTGATTCTGTTTAGGTGTCACTAGCTTACACCCCCTTTTGAAAATGGGATATATCCACTTCAGCCATTGACAAAAAGTGTTTGTACACACAATTAATTTGCATAATTTGATGTAATTCAATACATATAAAACCAACTATAACACAACTGCAGGATCATTCTACACCCCATAAGTTTCTTTCAGTAACCATCCGATCCTTACCTATATATATATATATATTGCAGGTTTTCTACCATATGGTTTCTGTACGGCCTTGTGGCCAGATCTGGGTGTATCAAATTGTTGATTTTTCCAGGTCAAGATGTGCTGCAGCCATGAAAACCACAACAGACATTTCACGAAAAAAATGCCCGGGGAGGCCCAGATGCCCACACAGAACAGAAAACCCTTTTGTTGAAACCCACAGCACAGTCTCGAATTTCGTCACCCTTGAACACTGTGACAGGGTTCCGCACTGCCTCTGTTTTGCATCAACATCCAAGCACTTGGATATTTTCCCTGTGTGCAGCATGTTTCCTTCACTCATCAGAAAAATTGTTTGGTCCTCCCTTCAATGATGCGAGTTTGGGATAGTTTAAGCTCCATCATGATTTGCTTGTTGGTTTCCAAATGTGTGTTCTCCCCTATTTGGAATAATGATTGCCTTTCTTGCGGGCCCAGGATGGGTTGAAACCACCAAGAACTAGGAAATCTCAGAGCCACACCGGGCTCTATAGACTAGTCTGAATACACAGCACCGAGATCTGTCAAGGCTTCTGCGGCCATGGTCAGCCCTGCTGTCTTTTTCACAAAGACCACTTCATCAAGGGCGGTTTTTGTGGAGCGATGCCAAGATTCCTCAACAATGATAGCCAAACATGATGGTTGTTTGGTATTGAAGAGTCTGCTACCAATTTTTACCTTGGTTGTTTCGGTGGGTTTGTTGGCCACCCCCCAAACTCAAGCTTGATGGAATCTCGGATTCTCTCACCAGACTTGCGCTTGAGATGTGAAACGGCTAGCCCCGGCAACTGCACGGAGATTTTGATCGCGTGCTACGTATATGTCCCTTGAAAAAGTTAGCCTGTGAGATTGCAAATCGGTTCTCATGTTCCATTTTGGGAGGAAAAATCAAGTACACAAATACACAATGCATTCATGTAGCACGGCCCACTTTCTTGCTGCAGGCTTTTTTGCCCGCCGGCCTACTTGTGAGCCGAAAAGTTTTCAACCCTCAAAGCCTCAAACGGATCTTGTGCGGAAAACTGTTGCAAGATGTTGCAAGGTCATCGCTGTCTTCATTCCTCATGTGGGGCTGAGCCGGTCTATCAATATTCATTCATCATGTCGAGTGACGCTCCCGACTACTGAATTTCATGGTTTTGTCCAAAAATAGAATACCCCTAAATCCTGGGAAACAGGCAATTCTTGGCGCCCACCCGCCAATTCTGGACGTACCCATATCAACACCATATAGTTACATCCCCACTATACTTGATTGACTCGCCAGATTGCATTGCTCTCCCATTTAACTATCCAATAGTTAGTCCCAACTATTAATTATACCCATTAATCCTCATAATAAAGTAGCAATTCTTGGGTTTATTTGCGATTTCTGGACACACCCGTAAGACCGGCAAAAAGTGCCGAAAAGTAAAATCCAATGCGAAAACGTGGAAAACGTATCTAATGGCTAATGCATCTGCATCCTAGTACAGCGAGCGGACAAACCATGTGGTTTGTGTGAAAATGTCATAATTTTCATTTATTTTTCTCTATCACATAGGTAACAGTACTTGGGGTGTGGGGTTGCAGGTCCCATGCTACTGGAGATATCTCAAACATATAGCCATATAGCCTATATCACACCACCAGGCTCCGTCCAAGAAGCATCTGCATCGCCAACTTGACAGTCTTGTCCATCATCCCTCGTTCCTGGAAAAATCCTTGTATAGATTCCCAGGCTGAGCAAAATAGGTTGGACAGGATGGTACAAGTACATTTGGCGAATCTGCAACGACATCGAAAATTCATGAAAATCCGATACAAGAACCCAGTCTGGAAAAGTTAAATCTGGGCCCAGATCGGATAAGATGCATACTGGCTCAGACCGATGATGGCGTACTGCCTGTGTCCCTCCAGCGTCTGGAACTTCCGAATCAGAAGTGTGAAAAAACGAATCACCAGTTGGATCTGGTTTACAGGACCACTTACAAGAAACCCAACAGATTTTCATGGTAAAAACAATGGTAAAAATCTATGGTTTCCGGAGAAGCATCGCCCGGAAAAAAAAACACTCCACTGGAATCAGTTTTGATTCCTCCACCAGGATGATCGGTGCCCATTGTGTTGATTGGACACCGTGAAGGGTAGACAAATCCAGCAAGATAAAACTAACTACCCGTCTCAATCATGAACACCAAGTACAATATAAAGTTCAAGCTATCATGCATTCAGAAATATATATATATATGTATGTATTGATAGTTTAAAAACAATATCATACATATATTCATTATATGCGTATTGATAGTAAAAAATAAACCATACATATATTCATTATAGCATGATTCACTGTCTTCATGTCATTTTGATATACATGTGTATATATATATTATATGTATATATATATATATATGTAGACGTATAGATAAGGCATTAACATGCAAAGCACGATATGGCTAAAAGCGAAGCCCCTGCCCCCTTTTGACAAAGACCAAGGTCTCCGATTGAAACCTTTAAAGGACGACCGCCAAAGTTCCCGAGGAAGTTGGAATCGTCGTTGCACATGTAGTCGTAAGGCTGTGAAAAAATGAAAACAATTTGGGGGGTTGAGTTTTGGGAATTTTTGCGCGCTTTCTTTTGGTTGACAATGTTGACCAATTGATGCCAAGAATCTATATACATATACCTACACTGTATACATATATATATATTTACATACATGAATATATGATAACTATACATATGGAAATATGTATCTACATCATGATATATCTACCGGCCATAAACCCTAGTTAAGCGAATAAGAAACCCAGTCAGACAACTATGTGGCACCAGTTTGCAGAAGGGATGACTCCCGGGTGACTCTCCCTGACGAATATTGGCCTATGTTGCCCTCAGGAAAGTCAGCTGCAAAGAGCAAGCCCATGGTTGAATTAAGGGTTTTCCACAATTTACCGGCAGATGTTCTTCCAACCAACTTCCTACCATGAGAGCTCAGAAGCATACTGTTCCCATGTTGATTATCCATGGCATCTGCCCACAGAACTGCAGGATGCAGATTAGAAACATCTTCTCTGAATGGATTCAAGTCAAAATGCATCAGCCAGACATGTGGCTAGTCTACCCCGCAAGTCCCCGGTTTTTATCTGGCAGCATATTTCTCGGTATGATGTCTAGGAATGAACGTTCTTATCATTAAAAAGAACAAATGGGCTGTAGAGAGGTGAAAGGTCTCACCCAAATCTTCCGCCATATTCCACAAAGGATGCGGGATTCGAGCGGCCTTGTCCTTTTGATTCCTGCCGCAACATCATCCATAATCAGAAATTCCCAATTCACAGTGGGGCTAGCGAATATAGCTTTTTGACTTCCCCACGGCCAAGTCTTGGTTATATATATGACAACACAAAAAATCATTCAGAATTTGTGATGGAGCTTGCCAACAACCCTGTTCCGGTTGATATGTGCTCTCTTTATGACCCTTAAAACTCCGATCATTATAATATCTTCGCATGGAAAAATGAACCACATCAAGGAATGATATTACATCATATTATAGTGATCATCTCGTAAATATACGTATGACTAGTATATATAGTGTACGTGTTATAGTACTGAGGACTCGGTCGGACCCAGGACATCTGTACCAAGGCGGCCCAGGCGCATAGCCATAGCCTTTATCTCCCCAGGAAGTTCCCCAGCTGTTGCGGACAATGAAGACCTTGGAGCTGCCGAGGTCTACCTATCTGGGCAGCAGATGGGCCTATGAAGCAACAAAGAAAAAGGAATTTTAAGCATGAAACATCATCCAACATAGTATATGAAAGCCTATTATGTTGATATTGTTTTGTCTACGCTTAAGATGGATAAAACAAAAATCAATTACACAGTGTTTCATCGCCGATGATGTTTCAAAAAACATTAGGATGACGAAGGTATGATTGCGAACATCATCGGTAGGTAGGATGAACAAAACATGAAACCAACAACCCGATGTGAAATCTGAGTTTAAGGCCCAACAACTCACTATTTGGATGCCATGTTCAGGGTAGAGGTAGGGAGACACATAGATATCTCATGATATATGTCTAGAGTCTAGAGCCTAGATATCAGGGATGGGCATGGGTTAAACCTACTTTAAAAAAAAAGCATATTTTGCGGAATAAACATCCAGAGGGTACAGTATGCTCCTGGTTCCATTGATAGCCATTCTGCGCAAGGACTTGAATTCATGGTTCATTCACCAGCTTATTCACCACTATAAACTATTAGACCCTCTGGTAAACTAACATTACTATGGAACATGGCCCACTCATAGTCGATCTAATTACTTATTAAAAATGGTGATTTTCCATATGTTTTTTCGTTTACCGGAGGGTAAGTCAAAAATTCAAAGTTTACGGCATTTTACGAACGCCACGCGGACCACTGTCCGTCTCCGTATTAATCGGCACGGACCATGCGCCTCCTGGCGATTGTTGTAGCCCACAATGAGCATTGCATGAAGTCCTGGCGAAATCCATCACGAAGAAATCATGAAAACCATTGGAAACATCTTTCATGATGATGTATGTTCTCATACGAAATGATATATCACGATGATTTTCTCATGATACATAACGATAATTATTCATCTCCATGAATGTTGATTATTTTCCTGCATTTGGGACGAAACTGCCTCAACAATCTAAAATTGAAATACCTTAGAAATAATATGAGGATATATGATTGCAAATATTTCATGACATTTCTTCAAAAATTGCCAACATATGAAAAACAAATCCCAGTATTGGGACCCCAGTAGGTCCCATGTCCGCTGGCATCTGGAGTCACCTATGGCCAAGGTTTTGAATGGACCATGGTCAACAAAGATGTGGAACATGCACCATTTGTAGAGGATTTCAGCGGAAAATCATGGAAAATCAAAGTTTTCATTTTCGTTGTCAGCATTGTTCATTTCCTTCAGGGTACACAATGTATCATGTAAAGATCTAAAATGACCTAATATGATTCAAGATGATCTAACGATATGCAATTGTCTGACGGTCGACTGTAAGTCCCCCGGACCTGGCGATGGCTTGAAGAATCTTGCTGTCAGCTTCAAGCCGAAGAATATGGGATGACTTGCGGTTGGGAATTCCGCCAGTGTCATCATGGCTGGAAAAATCTTCAGATGAAAGTTGGTTTTTACGGACTTTCATTCGATGCTCACCGTCCTTGAAGGAACCAGAAACACCAGAAACCAATTCATTTTTTAAACGTTTACCAACTTCTTACATACCTTGCGTTAAGCACAAAGAATATAAATACCTTGCGCTGCGAGCGCTGTTGACTATCTATCTATCTATCTATCTGTCTATCTATCTGCCTATCTATCTATCTATCCATCCATCTATCTATCTATCTTTATCTAAATCCAAGAGCCATGAAACCAATGGTTTCTTACAGTGCTTGACGTTGTGGGACAGTCAGTGGTACAAAGGGAGGTGCGATGATAGGGTGCACTGGGACGATGTATGTGGTACAGTGGTGCGATGTCATGGTGCGTGTGTGGTGCGATGGTACGGTGCAATGGTGCGATGGTACAGTGCAATGGTGCGCTGGTATGGTGCAATGGTGCGACGGTGCCGTGCAATGCACCAGTGTACCCCAGTGCACCCATTGCACTGCACCAAAAAGATTGCTGCCAAAACGTTTTTCTTCTACCAAAACTTGCGTTTTTGCTGACTTTAAAAACGTTTTTTTGCAAAAAATGGTGCAGTGGAACAGGCGCAGTGGTACAGTGGACTGGTACCCCTGGTACAGTGGTATACAGCCAGTAGATATGTACCATTGCACCGCACTGCACCGCACCATCGCACCGTTGCACCGCGCCATTGCACCCTTACACCGCACCATCGCACCGCATGATTGCACCCAGTGTACCAAGTCACTTGCACCTCCGAAAAGTATGTTTCGTACTATCTGGGGGATAGCCACAAGAGCATGGCTCTTGAATTTCGATAAATCTATCTATCTATCTTTCTTTCTATTTATTTATCGATCTATCTATCGATCTATCTATCCATCTATCTATCCATCTATCTATCCATCCATCCATCTATCCATCTATCCATTCATCCGTCCATCCATCCATCTATCCATCTATTTTTCACTTTATCTTTTTATTTAGCTATCTTTCTATCTATCTGTCTTATTATTTAAATTTGAATCTAATCAAATCAAATCTAATCTAAATCTAATCCAATCTAATCTAATCCAATCTATCTGGAAAGGACATCGGAACGGCAAAACGTTCTTCAAAGCCTTCATTTTTTTAACACTTTTGACTTGAAAATGTTCTTCGCGCCACAACGGCGTGCACTTTTTCGACATCTAAACTTCCAAAAGTGGTCCGAACCCGGCAGTTGTTTGACAATTTTTACTTGGAAATGTGCTTCGCGCCACAACAGCGTGCACTTTTTTCGACATCTCAACTTCCAAAAGCGGTCTGAAACCGTCAGTTTTTGACGCTTTTGACTTGGAAATGTGCTTCGCGCCACAATGGAGAAGGAGAAATCGAAGCCGGAGCAGATGGTATGGGGGGAAACTTGTGGCACAGATACAGTTGTGGCCCTTTACCAGTTATAAGTACTTATAACCCCATTTATAGAATGTATAATCCCACTTATAACCAGTTATAACTGATAAATGGCCATAACTGTACAGAGCGACCTGCAGCTGATGACCTAGCTTTTGAACTTTAAAATGTTTGTTCGTCACTTGGTGAACTGGTAGCGGAGCGAACTGGTCACGGAGCGCTTTCGATTTTTTACATCTTTTGCTTCGATGGGCCTTTGCCGGAGTCATCCTGAGCCTTCGCGATGGCAGCCGCTTTTCGCTTGGCCTTCTTGCGTTTCTTCTCTCTTTTGTTTTTCGCCCTTTTGATTTTTTTCAGCTTTTCTTCTGCAGAAAGGCCTGCCTCCTCTGCTGGTGCTTTGCTGCTGGCAGCAGTCGCAGCAGCTGGACCAGTTGGACCCACTGTCACTGCGGCATCTGGGCCAGCAGTTTGGCTTTGTGGTCCAAGGCCGGTCATATTCGGCTCTGCATTGGAAGCCCCCGGGTCTGCTTGAGGATCACGAGTGGCAACATCATCAGGCAAAATAGTGGGCGTCTCAGAAGGTTCCGTGTCACCATCCGATAATCCTGCTTGAGGACTACGAGTGGCAATATCATCAGGTAAAATGGTTGCCGTCTCAGAAGCTTCCGTGGCAGAGCCATCTCCGAAGTCAGTGGCCTCACCCATGGCGGCTCAGCAGAGAGTGAGATGAAATGCAATCAATCTCTGAACAATCCATGCAAAATGGACCTCAGCTGCAGCTCTTGTAAGCTGTTTGTAACAGGTACCAAGCATATAAGTCTTGGAAAATCATTGTTTGACAAACGCTCTGGTTTGCAAGTCATGGAATGTTTGGCCTTGGTATGGCCGAACATAGGAAACGATAACATGATATAGTTTGAAATTTGATAGCAAATAGTTGATGCATTCGGCCTGTGGGAAAAAGCTGCGCTTCAGACCAACGCTCATGACAATTGTTCGGAATCACGCTCCAAGCATTTTGACATGAAGATGGTCCAAATGTCACAACGCATTGCCAAGAAGGACCAATGGACTGGCAATCCAAAAGAGACTGGCACGCCAACAACTGGCAATCCAAAATGCCGGAATTGGCAGCCAGTTTGATGGCAGCCAGCTCCAAGCAGGGACTGTCACACCAACAACTGGCAATCCAATTTCTGGTAACTTGGCAGCCAGTTATATGGCAGCCAGCTCCAGGAAGGAACTGGCACGCCAACAACTGGCAATCCATGGCAATTTGTCAGCCAGTTTGAAGCAGCCAGCTCCAAGAAGGAACTGGCACGCCAACAACTGGCAACCCAATATGCCAGAATTGGCAGCCAGTTATATGGCAGCCAGCGCCACGAAGGAACTAGATTAGAGTAGAGTAGATTGGATTTGATTAGATTAGGATTAAACATATTAGATTAGATTCGACTAGCCAGATAGATAGAAAGATTGAAAGATTGCCGATTTCATCAACGCCGTGGGACTGGCATGCTTTTTGGAAGTTGGGATCTCGTCAGAAACGTGGGACCAGTGGTGCTGTGTTGCATGGTATGGTGACCAAGTGAGCCTGAAAGTTTTGCTGCAAGCCCCTGCAACATCCCCTAAAGACAGGCTCTTCCCGTCACCTGACACAGCTTGGAGCAGCTCTCAGGACTCCGAACCAGAAAGAAACTGATGCCGTAATTTTGGAACAATCATCGTGTTACTTCCGTCACTTTGAAAAACATTTCTAGTCAAAAACAAGTCCTGAAAGCTTGGCTGCCAGCCTGCACATTCCCTCAATCCCCGAATGACAAGGTGTTCCTGTCATGTGCAAAGATTCCATAAGCATCCATATATGCTGCGTAGTTGAACTTTCAAAAAAGGTTTCAAGCCTTGCGAAACATGACTTAATTGTTTGAAACCGAATCGCATTGAACGCCGACGCAGCTCCGGCAGCTCTCACGACTCCGACTCAGACGAAGACGTTGAAGAAGAATAATCATCTGAATCTGAGCAAGAAGGCACAGCGTTGCCAGACTGTTCGCTCCGCCATTCCTGTTCAAGAGCTTCCAGAACTGCGCAGTCACTGCCATCATCACAGCACTTGCACCTGCCCAGGAATTTCTGGATATGTTCTGGCATTTGGTCTGGACAAAGCATGAGATGTTTTGTCCAGATCCAATTCAGTGCGAATTTGGCTGCGTTGTGTTCGGACATCTCTTTAAAGCTACACTGTGCGCTCTGCTTCTTGAAACCTGTTGGAGGCGTCAAGATGCCCTTGTGAAGCTTGTAGTAACCCACCCAAGTCTTCTTCCTGGGCTGTCTGAGAAGTGCAATGTACGTTGCGCCACGTGGCAAGGCTTGGCCGCCTGAACAAGGCAACAACTTCTTCATCCATGGCACCTCTGTGCGCCAATGCTCCGCCCTTTCCTTCTCTTCTGGCTGGGGATCTTCTGTTTCGTTCTCTTCATCCAATAAAACAAATTGCTCTTCCATTGTTTCTTGCAAAAATTGCTCCGCGATTCCTGCAAGCAATGGCTCAAAACACAATGACTATCCTGCATGCATCTAGTCACTGCATGTGGGGCTGCTATTCAAAAATTGAGCTTTGGAAGAGCATTTTACAGAGGAACAACCAAACAAGCCTTCTATAAAAGTTGTACCAGAAAAGCATTTGATAGCCGTATCCGTATATACACTTTATAAAGGAACAACTAACAGGCAAACACTTATCGCCACCAGTTGCCCCACGCAACTGACATGCAGCTTGCTGGATTACCTAATCAATTAGCCAGTTGGTTCCCACCCAGCTCTGCAGGTTTGCGAAGTTTCCGGTGTGCCAGCCCGATCACGCACAGTCCTTCATCGGCCACCTGCATTTCATCCATGTCAAAATCATCTTCGGCCAAACTGTTTCCCTCAGGAGCAGGTGGCATTGCACCAACCCGTGCGTAGAAACAGCAATGATCTCTGATAGCACAAGGCCAGGGCCTGAAACTTTATAAGAAAACTGGGAAATTTGGAGGCCATGCGAACCGGCAATGTCGTGGAGTAGTGAAAAGCTCGTCGACATTTTCAGCTTGCCGCATTGCGATGGGAAGCGGCGCTGTGCCCCGCACGCAACAGGCACATGTTCACACTGCACAGGCTTGAGGCAACCATCCCTGCAACATTCCATGCATAGAAGCACCTGCCACATAGGCTTCTTCACCTTGTATGTTAGGTGAGGCATTGGCAGCATAGACACAATTCATGAAAGTGACACGCTTCTTTCAAATTACTTACAGTTTCTACAACCACAATAGATTGTTTTCAGTTTTCAGTACAAATCTTTCTTGAAAAGCATGCCCAAAAAACGCTTTTACACACAGCAAGTGCTTACACACAGACGCTTTTACACACAGCAAGCGTTTACACAGAGAAGCTTTTACACACAGCAGGCTTTCACACATAGCAAGCATGAGACACAACAAGCATTTACACACAGCAAGCCTTTTACACACAGCAAGCTCACAGCAAGCTTTTACACACACAGCAAGCATTTACACACAGCAAGCTTTCACAGCCAGCAAGCTTTTACACAGAGAAGCTTTTACAAACAGAAGCTTTCACACACAGGAAGCCTTTACGCTGTCAAGCCACAGGCTCAGACACGGTACCTGCTGCGGGCAGTCTTCATAGAGAGCACATCAAGATCCCTTGGGGCCACCACTCACTACGGCCAATGAAAAAGGAAGCAAGTGGCTATGGCCGGCGGGCTTGCCGGAGGCAATGAAATAACAAGGTACGTCCATCTGTGGTTCCCTTGGTCTTCAACTTTTGACCCCGAAGAAAACGACCAACTGCTACATTTCTGTATCTGAAAATGGAGATCTACCAAACCCCAAAGGTGGCCATGAAATCATAGGAAACATGATTGCATGATGATGAAACATCCTTAAACCCGTGGATTTTAGACCTTTTTTCCCATGGGAAAATCCCCTGAAATCAGATCCAAAACCATCCCCAGTGGCGCCAATCGCCCTGCGACGATGAAGGGATGCCGGATGTAGGACAGCAAGTTCCGCTTGGTGAGGGCGTAACGCATGAGATTTCGACCGATGATCCTGGGCTCCACTTCTTTTGTTTGGGATTTCAATGGAGATTTCATCAATAGAAATTGTTGGATATGGTGGTTCAATGGTATTTCACCAGCAAACAATTTTTGGCCCAGCCTTCAATACTTTGCGACACAAAATGGTACAAGATCATGCAGATTGCCGTTCTGGAGGAGTGGAGATTACATGACAGCAAATAACAGCAAAACAAATACCTACAAATCATGAATATAAGACATTCACCAGGACCAAGCTTCGGCAAAATAGAGCAGGGGATGATACGACCGATATTGTTATGGACGGGCACAATTGAAAGATCTGTGATACGGTTTTACTAGTGCATAGCGAAGAAAACATCTCAGCATAGTGCACAAAACATTGGACATCTGCATGTATGTTTCACACCTTTCATGTCTCAAACCGTCACAGAAAATGTCGCCATTTTCAAGTGACAACTGTCCGCGGTCTTTCTACAGGATGGACCAATGACTTCGATACCCAGCTCCCAGCCCCAGGAAGCCAAGTCGCTTATTCTTGCGCAGCACCTTCATGGCGTAGATCTGTCCCGTCGTTTTCTGCGTCACCTGAAAGACCTCTCCGAAACTGCCACGGCCCAGCCTTGGTGGAGTGTCCATTCAAGGGGAATCCGAAACATTTTGCAGTTAACCATTGGCTCACCATTGGTTGACTCACTCTTTCCCAAGAAAAACACGAGAATAGTTCGATTCTGTTTGATTTTTCCAGGTAGTCAAGTAGTCAACGGCTTTGTGAGTGAAAATGCGGACTTGGTGAATCGGAGAACTCGAGGCTCAAAGAAATTCTGTCGACAAGCAGCACGGACAAGATCCTGAAAGACTTGGGTCCAACATTTCCGTCGGGCTCATCCTTCTTGTCCTATGGGCAGCATGCAGTTGCTGATCTGAGAATCTGATTCAGAGCAATTAAAGGAGCTTGTTTTGTCCGGAACTTTGTATAGATTCTTCTTAATAGCGTACAGTACGTATACAATATCTATCTATCTATCTATCTATCTATCTATCTATCTATCTATCTATCTATATATGTACAAGAAATGGTTGTATTATCTCTCCATGTTTCATCATACACCGGAGTAAATGATAATCATTCAGCAACCTGAAATAATGTGTTCATTAGGATAGATGTAGATAGTCAAGATAGATCTGGATCAATGATAACTAAACAGCTCCAAAATTGTTCGCATGTATCAAGTAATAATTGATCATCTATAATCTTTAAAAGATTTATTGATCATCTATTATACTCAATTATCAATGATAAATCATATGATCGAAACATATCTATATTATAATCAAATCCATTATATCATAATTCAGACTAGATCTGTTGATTATCTACAAATCATGGATAGTCATATCTCCAGATCAAGGACTCGCAGCTCCTGAAGTTTGGTGAAGCGCCGCTGCGACGCCCGCAGCTTCGCTGGCAATAGAGCCGTTGCTGGGGAGTCGCCTTGGAGCCTTGGGCATGATGAAAGTTCCCGAGACTCATTACCCTACAATACATGGGGACGGGTCAAAATTAGGTACCCCAATACATGGATGCTTAATACTAAACCTAGACCTATATCTGTGGTAACCCAATTCTTGAATTTTGACCCATAACCACATAAATTCTAAATCCCGCATTCTGTTTAGGAATCATTCTGTCTGGGTTTCCCCCCCGAACCGCCAAAACTCCTTCAGCTGCCAAAATTTTGATAGAACGATTCCAGATAGAACGATTGTTGCACCCCAAAACCTTGGGTTTTTGACGTTTTTTTTGTAGACTCCACATTCTGTCTGGGAATCATTCTATTAAGATTTTCGTTGCAGAATCGTTTTTGTGGGTCGTGTCCAGACAGAAGGATGGTGCTCCAACAGAACGATGGTGCTATAATTATAAGAACGATGGTGTGCTAACAGAACGATGGTGCTCAAACAGAACGATGGTGCTCCTTTTCCCCACCCCACCCCACCCCACCCCAAAAGGAAGAGAGAAAAACCTGCCCCAGAGAAGTTGGATATTTTTTTGGGAGTACACATGCGAGGAAACCCGTGTGTTGTGGTACTTGGCCTCACAACACGTGTCAGCTTGTTCATCTTGGGCCAAATCTGCCCACAACTGATCTTCTCAAAACTGTCCATGTTTGGCCAGACAGAACGATTAATCTTGATAGAACGATGGTTCAAATAGAATGTGCAGTTACAAGTTAGAATTAAACCTATTTATTATAAACAAATAACAAAAAACAAAAATAATACTAATGATAATAAAAGTGATAATAAAAGTGATAATACTATTAAAAATGAACATGTTGGAAAAAAACAAAAAACATAATAACAAAGATAATATAATATAATATAATATATTATAATAAAATATAATATGATAACTATTATCATTATTAATGATAATAAAAACAAAAATACCACTAAAAAAAATACAATAACAATAATGATAATCTCATGGATTCAGTATTCATTGATCTCCGCCAAGCACAGGATTTATGGTGATCGTGGGGGCCTCCAGCTTTTCACCGAGTCTCCGCCAGCCCGCGGGGTGTTTGGCAGGTCTTATGGCAGGTCCATGCCATGCCTGGCAGGCAACCGGTCGAGCTGTTCATTTACTGGAGAATATCTCCAAAGTGGATAGAACACAGAAACGAAACCCATGACAAAGTAGAGTAATGTAGCCTCAATAGCACATGTCCATGACATTGAGTAAAGATTCGAACAAAAACCATGAACATTGAGTGAAGATTCACTTTGCGGCATCTTTTTGGGGTCGACTATACCATATATGCTTGAGGATTCTATAGGTATCTTCGTTGTAGAGTCTTCTAAGCCAACTTCTATGGGCATCACCTGGCTTGGAATAGCCACAGGAAAAGACCTGATTACCTCTGGTAATCAAACATGGCAAGTGTACCAGAACATCCCCCGTCCGTAGATTACACCGTCCAGTGAAATGCCAATTGATGGGAGATTTACGATTCCCATTAGATTACCAAAGGGAAATTGATGTTAGTTGGAGGTCAATTCTAAAACTGGGTAATGGTGACTGTTAATGTTACTTCTGGCTTCAATATTTCTACATATATAATTATGCTTTATATGGAAATACATGGACATATATCATGTCTGAAGTCCATCTCGTGTTGGGAGTTGAAAATCCCCGAGATGTTGAAAGCAACCCATTTTTGACCAATAACACATAATATGTATATATATATATACAATAACATGTTACCACACCAGATTTCATACTGTGCGCATCTGTGCGCTGTACATCATTTGGCTTCTTGAAAACTGTTTCCCTGAAGTCGGTTTGGGCCATCCAAGCAAGCAAAGCTAAGTCTTCCTGCCTCGAGCTTCAGAAGAGCGACAGAACTTTGCTGTCTTCACATCGGCTGGAACATCCGGAGCTTTGGTGCTCAGTCAATCATTTGTTGTTTAAGATTTAAGTTTACTGACAGAACCAACAATCCATGGAATCTGAAATCAAGCAGCCATGGCAACAGCAATTGCATTCACACCTGACACACCAATTGGTACCAGTTTTATACAGGAAAAAACACGTTACATTGCCCAAGCATACTGAGATAATTAGCTGAAGGATGTTGAGGGAAACATACACATTTTTTCAGCGATTTGGTCCTAACCAAACTTGAGAAACTCGCTGCTGCAAAAAAACATGTTCTTTGGTCAAGAAAGAAATGCAAGCAAAGTGGTTACAACCCAAGCAACCCTCTTATCCTCTTGGCAAGCATCAGAAAAAACAGGTGAGAACATCCCTTTTACACAGGCAGTACTCCCAGAAAAGGTCTGATAGATGGTACATGTAGGGTTGCGCTATCTTCAGGCATACAGTATGTGCTATTTTCGGGTAAATTTGGGAAATGATTTTTTCACTGTTAAATACATTACATGGCGCAACCACCTCTGAAAAGCTGGGGCAGAGCCAAGCACTTGCACAACGGAGTAACTCTAGCCAGCAACAAGGGGTACTATGTGACACATGTTGCATAGGTACCCCTATGTGTACTTACAACCTCAGCTGGAATTAGAATAAGGCAAAGTCCATAAAAAGAAGCACCGAATCAAATCTGGCCAGCCAGATTTGGTTCCGAACAGAGTCTATCAAACCATATGGCAAGAAAACCATCAATATATATATATATATAGGGTAAATTATAATATTTCACTAACCTGAATTAAGGCCATTTGCGGATGATTCCCCTTTCTAACCATGATTCCCAGTGAGGTCGCAGTGAGGTCGTTATAATTTACCCAGATATATCCAATACACCGTTGAACACGCTGTGCGGTTCAGCCAGCGGCAGACATACACCGCCAGCACTTTGTCCAAAAATTTCTTCGTCTCCTCCACCGAGCAGTGCGCCGCATGGCCCTGGTAGCTGGGAGGCACAAGGTGGTGCCCCCCAAGTTATAAGTTGGTTCATAATCCCGTTAACTATAGATATATCTACCATAAGTCCTAGTTGTTAGAGTTATAAACCACCTTAGCTATCTTGGGGGCACCACCTTGCAGAGAGTTTCGGATGCCCAGTCGGGCTGATTTTTGAAGGATACCCTCTGGTGATATGGAAAGTGCTGGATCATGGCCATGGGCATGGCTAAATGGAGATATGATATGTTTAATGGGAACATCCTGGGAAAACCGTCGGAAAACCATGGGAACTATGAAATCACATCTATAAATTGAGGTTTCTAGCTGGGAAAATCATGGAACTAATGGTGGATGTTCAATTGCCATGTTTGAGTACCAAAAGGTATAAATTGCAGATATTTGCTGATGATACCTGCAGATTCAATGATTCTATTGAGACTTGAGCTGATTTTCATCAGTTCAGCTGCCTCCTGCCTCTGCACCTTTTCAAAGGTTTATCCAGCTGTATGCACCAGTTTCATGACCATTAAACTGTGTGTTTTGATACTCTGCAAACAAAAAACAGGAAAGGAAACACTATAGCTGACAACTGTATTAGATATGTTATCATACCATGATTATATTTTGATATTTATTGATATCCAGAATTATATTATTTATGTTTATTGATTAGAACTGACAATGAAGCAAACAATGTACCAAGCCAAAGTTTCCCCTGGCTTGGAATACTTCTCTTGATGCATTCATGCATTCACCAAGGTCTGTCTGGCACCCGAATGTGAATAGTCACAGCAGTCCAAATGGGATTCTGACTCACAAAGATCTTGTCAGTTCTTCCATTTTCCAACCAAAAACTCTTCCGACCCAAACATCATGTGTTATTACATTCACAAATTGCCAGGGATTTTCGCCGCTCGTTCATCCCCCCAAAAAAATATGGTTTCCCCTCAACAAAAAGAATGATTTCCACCCACAAAAAAAAGGTGTTCCATCCCCAAAAATGGGATGTTTCCCTCAAAAATCATCTGGTTGGTGGTTTCAACCCATCTGAAAAATAGTCAGTTGAGAAGGATTATCCCATATACTATGGAAAGATAAAAAATATTCCAAACCACCACCCAGTAATGGGATGTCTGTCCACCCCGAAAAACTGCTGATTTCACCGTCCCCAGGCCGTCGCGCCTCGTGCACCCGCAGCTCCCTGCCCCGCATCAACGGCAGCGGCCGCTTCACCGTGGCCGCCGTGGCCGTGGCCGTGGTGTCGCGGCACAGGATCAGTGGCAGGTCGCGGGACGAGGAAATCCACTTGGAGAGGACCTGGGGGACGACCCCAGGGGCTGGGGAACCAAAATGGACTGCTGGTTGGTGGTATACCTACCCCTAGACTGTGGTACCCCTCTGGAAAATATGAAAGTCAGTTGGGATGATTATTCCAAATATATGGAAAACATAAAAACTGTTCTATATGGAAAAAAAATGTTCCAAACCACCAACCAGAATGATTTGCAGGGGAAAAATCCGTGAGTTTCATCGGAAATATGTGGGAGAAGATGTGATCAGATGGGATTCTATGTGGATTCGATGGGGATTCGGATTCGATCTGACTATAATGAGAAACTGTAATGAGAAACCAACCATAGTGAGGGGATGATTTGTGGATAACACAGGAATAAGTCTAAGTGAGGCCTGCTAGAAACCATAGAAACATGTTTCTTCAACCCAGAAACATGTGGGTTTCAAAGGATTTATAGCCAAATTATGATAGCGAGATGTTGACACACAGTTCACTTGGTTAACTGTTGGGTTGGTTAAGGGGATATATAACCAACTAGTTACAGTAGGTTTAAGTTTATGAACTACCATCTGGTTATTTAACATAGCCATGGAAAATCACCATTTTAAAGAACGGTAAACCATCTATTTCAATGGGCCATCTATACCATGGCTATGTCGCTATGTCAGCCATAACCAGAGGGTAACTTATAACCAGTTCACGGCCGCACGGCTATGGGGAATCTAAGCTTGGAATTCACAAAGCTTCACATAGGAATTGGCCATGGGAATATCGTGGGAATTGGTCATGGATCAATGGGATAATATCATATAATATCCAACTTATGACATGTGACATATATGGATGTTCATGGTCATCCCATTCCATTGAAATCCTGAAACAATGGGCATAAGATTGATGACCATGCCCCAAGGACAGTGAAAAAACGTTTTCCAAGTTTGGCCATGCTGATTACTCAGATCTGCAATTTGTTCTTGTGATTTCACTTTTAATGTTTGTTTTTGATAATGATAAGATCTGTACAGAAGCCATAACTTGGATAATCAAGTAATAATATCTGATAGTACACAAATATCAAATTTGGTAATCTTGGATAATGATATTTGTGTACTATCCAAGCAGTCACAGAAGCCATAAAGATGAGTAAACGTAAACATACTGAAATTATGATAAAACACACACATTCCTATAGGTCAATGAAGTGTCTAGGATTTTTGATTACACATTGAAATTGCCTGTAAAATACTGATGTCACTCGTTTTCCATTCAAGTTGTTATTTTATGATTATCCCCGCCTTCACACAAACCCATCTCAGGTACTCCCCTCACCTTGTAAAGCAGCGGCTCTGCTGCTTCCCTCGGCACATGTGGCACATGTTCTTCGTTCATCGTGTCCGCGGCGTGCTGCGCCAGCGGCAACGCAAAGCTTTGCGCGCCCAGTTGGCGCAAGGAACGCTGCAGGGAGTGACCAACTTCTTCCCACATGAACATGCCTCAGATGGAGGGCATTGATCCAGCCTTAGATGGGCTCCTAGCCAACCTGGAGATGGGCTCCTAGCTGGGGAACAAAAGCTTTGGTGATTTGAGTTCTTGACCATAGGAACTGTCCCATGAGGGCGCCAACATCCCTCAGGTGCTGATGGATACCCCAAAGCCCATGTTATCTCATGGATGATCCATAAATTGGGGCTATCCGAACTCGTGGCTCTCGTGTCAACTGGAAAATCCATGAAAATTCCATAATGAATGGAGGCTTCTAGCTGGGAAAGTCATCTGCAAATTCATGGATTTTCTATTGCACTGATCTGGCGCCCAACAACGATTAAGCAGCGTCCATTCACCAAACCTATCATATGCAAAACCTATTAGTTGGCTGATAAAGGTTCCCATGTAATCCCATGTATAGAATTTGTCAAAGTAATTAGGTTTTGAATCCTCATGAAATCACTTCACTGAGACAAACCAATGATTGCTATGTTACGATGTCATAACCTGATTTCTTAACCACCAACGCTCCAGATTCACAAAACAAGGCACCCCAGGGCCGGATGATAGGAACGCCCTTCAGATCGCTCTCCTCCACCAAGTGGCTCACTGCACGGCGGTACCACCTACAGAATCACCAGCATCGCACAGGCGGTTGCAAAGCAGAACATGTTGCAACATGTCGTTGAACTATGAAAATTCATGCGGTACATCCAATCACTATCTTCCGTTTGGGGTAATTTCATGTAATTTCACCCGAGAAAAACAAAACACATGTGATAACATGATGTAATGTGATATGGTTCAGATTCTGGATTTACCACACTTCGGTGGGGAAAAGAAATTCGTGGATCTATTGTGCTCCATCGAAGCAGCGCGATTGAAGTTGCAAACGGAGCCACCCAACAAAGTCCTCCTTCACCGGGGCCACTTTGCAAATCCTCAGGCGCTGAAACTGACAGCAAAAGGAACTGGTTGTAGTTGTGGTTGTTGTTGTTTTTGTGGTGGTGGTGGTGGTGGTGGGGGCGGCGGCGGCGGCGGTGTGGGGGCGGGGGTGGCGGGTGGCGGTGGCGGCGGTGGGGGTCGTGGTGGTGGTCGTGGTGGTGGTCGTGGTCGTGGTCGTGGTCGTGGTCCTGGTCCTGGTCCTGGTCGTGGTCGTGGTGGTGTCTGTGTGTCTGTGTGTCTGTGTGTCTGCGTGTCTGTGTGTCTGTGTGTCTGTGTGTCTGTGTGTCTGTGTTGTTACATAAATAGTGTAGATAACGAAACAATTCATGCCAAGGCATCTTTGGAAATCGTCAAAAGGCAAAAATGAATATATATATATATATTTATATCGTATAAATGCATGTCAGGAAAATCCATATGCTCTCTGACTCTCTAGTGCTGGCACACGTACCAACGCTGAAAGCAGCGCAATTAACAACCCCCAACAAACATGACCAATTGGGTTCAGTACTGGTTGGTGGTTTCAACCCCTCTGCAAAATAATTATTAAAGTCAATTGGGATGATTATTCCCAATATATGGAAAAATAACATTCATGTTCCAAACCAACAATATGATTACCATTTTTTGGCACTTCTTGTGGCACTGTTTTTGCATCACCAGTGAGCCCCTCCATGCATCCCAAGGTGCGCGTTGTACACCACCGGCACCCGCGCAGCTGTCGCTGGCGTGGGAGCCACCGGTGCCGCGGCGGCTTCACGGGCTTCGAGGCGTAGCGCCTACCAACCGCGGTGCTCCCCAGTTGGAAGTTGTGTTTGAAACCAAGTCAAAAGATGTTAACTATGTTAACTATATATGTAACAAGAACTTACCGATTGTGTTTGGAATACATAGTATATAGATATCATATAGATATTAGATATCATTAGATATCTGGATAGCTTTCTAAGAAGTTGGCGTTTCAACCACTTCAGCCATGGCACAAAGTCACCACGCCTCCCTCGCGAAGGGTCCCAGTTCCGCCCGGTGGAGGCTCTCGTGGGCGCAGCTGGCACCGTCCAGCGCCGGCGGCGGGCGCTTGACACCGCAACGCCCCCCACGCCGGGCACGGGGGTCGCGGAGGCCCTTGGAGGCGTTGTGGAAGGACCTGCGCTAAGCCAAGGCTCAGGGGATGGGTCTGGTTGGGTTGGGGAGAAAACATCTATGTGTTTTGGCATTCATTGAAATTTTATTGTTTTTTTTATTCATTGAAATTTGTTGGGGTTCAAACTATGAAGTGAAAGTACTTCCTGATTTGATTCCACCTGGTTTGACCTGAACAAAACGACGAATTCCATGATACTAACAGCAAGGTGGTGCCGTCTAGCCTTGAGCTGGTTTGGTTTCACCCCATTAACAACTGATAGATGCTGAATATGATGATATATCTACCATCAATCATAGTTAACAGTCTTTATTTCAAACAACTTAGCTAACTAAATCTCATTAAACCCAATTAAATTAAATCACCATTCTGGCTGGTAAAGATTGCTAGCTTAGCTTTTCAAACTGAGGCGCACATTTTTCAGGAAGCCCATGGAAGCCCAAGGGACCTGCCATGCCAATATTCCTCAAAGTGTTTCACACGGCCGTCCGGCGCAAAGCGCAGCTTTGCCACTTGAAGGAATTGAACCTCATCAGATGGTGCTCATGTGATGGTTTATCAAAATATATCAACATTCTGTGGCTGTGCCCTCAAAGGATTGGTGACATTCTGTGACATGAAAAACATCCGTTTATGGTCAAACAAATATCCTCAGCAAACCCCTAGTGCTCCAAATACCATCGAATATGTAAACAAACCCCAAGTTAAACAACTCCAAATTCGGTCTCAGCTGAACTTGGAGCTGTAGGGAAGACTCACTTGGGTGGGATCATCCCGTAGAGGGCTTGAAGATTTAAAAACATCAAACCGCTGCCTATCGCAGCATATTTTCATTGGTTAATATGGGTTACTATTGGTTATAGACCCAGCATATCCAAATGATCCAATTCTTTGAGCATGTTTTGCTGAGACATTCTCCCGGATCCAACATTTTAACCAGGAATGGTGTAAAATCGAGCCCGCCAGACATGACTTTGGGATTGCAGCTTCATGAGGTTTCCAAAGTCATGGGGGTACAAATCATCCAAGTCATTCGACCAAAACTGCGGGTTGAAACCTACAGTTGAATTCCTTCACCAATTAAACATGATTATCATCTGGTAAACGTTTACATAACTATGGAAAATCAATGTTTAATGGGAAAATTCACTATTTCGACTGGGCCATGTTCAATAGTTATTTCGACATAACCAGAGGGTATCATATGTTACACGGCCAATGGGGTGATCAATGGGGTGGCTTACTGACTTATGATTTATCACTGCTTTTCAGGGCACTGGATACGGGCTGCGGGTATCCCCCATTTGAAGAACCCCCCGTATCACTATGGTCACTATGGCCAAAACACCATTTACTTTGATGACTTTCGCTAGAAACCTCCAATTTAATAGTGGATGTGCCATATATATATATATATTTCATATGCTTTTCCCATGTTTTCCTCATGACTTGGAGAATCCCCCCAGATCTACCCTCTGGTAATTTAACATAGCGAACTGGAAAATCTCCATTTTAATAGTTTGCTAGTTGACTTACCTATTAGTTATAGTTATAGTTGGTTTACCATCTGGTTATGACTAACATAGCCATGGAAAATCACCATGCTATTAATAGGTAGACCATCTATCTTTTTGTTGGGCCTTCTATACCATGGCTATGTTAAATAACCCGAGGGTACCTATTAAATTACCATTTTCAAGTTCGGTATAAATCAACTATCAATGGCCATGGCTTCCATAGCTAACAACCACTACCAGAGGGTCACTTTTCAACCCAGGATTTTCCAGCCATACTTCCTACAATGTGGTGCCCCCAAGATAGCGTTCAGTTGGTGCAAATAATTCTAATTTCACTAGGACTTATGGTAGATATATCGAACTAGCTAATGATTTAATGGGATTATAAATCAACGTTCACATCAGTGGGGCGGGGTTATAATCCCAATAACTATAGACATAGAATGATATAGATATATCACCTATAAACCATAGCTAAGTTAGTGCTTTAAATTGGAGTTATTAACTTGGGGTATATAATATTTATAGTTAATGGGATTATATCCTATATCAATCTATATCACCTACAAGTTGGCGCCCCCCAAGTTATAAGTTGGTTTATAATCTCATTAACTATAGATATAGAGTTATAAATCATAATCCCATTAACCATAAGTCCTAGTTGTTACAAGGAGCCCCCCCAAGTTATGTTGAAGTTATGCATGTTATAAATTAAGGAAGTTATGTTGAAGTTATGTTAAGTTAAGGGTGGATATACAAGTAAGTTATAACTTTGCTAACTTTTTTGTATCTTTTTAGTTTGGCATTTTTTCATTTAGAGGAAAAATATTTTTGTTTTGTCTTTTTTCCCGTGGAGTTGGCAAATTGCAGCGATTTCACTTCATTTTTCCGCTTGGCTAGCACGGCAACGTTCAAAGTTGCTAATTGGCTAATTGGATGCAGTCATGGCAAACATTGCACGTGCATATGAATTTCTCTCCGCACAGACCGCCAGGAGTGAAAAAATGAGGGAAAAAAATACAGCAGCGAGCCGTTCGACTGCGCACCCAAAACTCCTGCTTGAGACTGCAAAAGTTGCGGAGAATCTTGTTCCTTTTTCTATAGTTTTCAGTGTTTGTGGCAAAATACATTGGTACATTTGCTTCCGGGGCTTGCAAAGTACAATACACATACGCGTTTCCTTGTCTCTACAGGAATATACATACGAGTTTTTGGGTTTTCTTTTGCTTTGAAAGCAACATACATACGCGTTTTTTTTTTGCGATGTTATCTTGTGTGAAAAAATACAAAAAATACAAAAAAATACGTTAAAAATACATTACCGATATAGCATATCAATCAAGAAAAATACGAGGATACATGTGAAAATACATATGCGTTGCATGATTCGTCTGGGCAAATACATACGTATCTTTTATTTCTCCCTTTGATTTTCAGAATGCACATACGCGTTTTGTCATATTCCTTGCTAACCTTACTCCCTTGACCTACAGAGCATCTTTTTTTACTCCGAAGCTGTCTCTCGGAGCTCCCTTGCAAGATGTTCCAAACGTCTTGGGTCAAATACAGAGGAAAGCGTGCCCACTGTTGCATTTGAGCCCGGGGCTGCTCAGAAGCAGCTATTTGAGCCCGAGGCTGCTCAGAAGCAGCTTGAAGCAGACCCGCCCCTTGCATGGCAAAAAGGCCCCAAAAACCCGAAGAGCTCGCCAAAACTGAGAAGAAACGCTAAATTTGAACCACACGCAGCAAAAGATCACAAAATGAAGCAAAAATGGCAAACCGAGCTAACTTTCAAAAGTTGAAAATAAAAAAGTTAACTTTGCTAACTTGTTTGTATCTTTTTAGTATCTTTCCACTTAAAAGATACAAATTACCTTATAAGTTCATAACTAAGATATAAGTGTAACATAAGTTATGGAATTTATAACATGAGATAACCCTAGTTATAACATATGTTAACCCTGGTTATAAGTCAAGTTATAAGTAGGGGGTGCTCCTTGTAGAGTTATGTTCACCAACTTAGCTATCGACCGGGGGCACCGTGGCACCTCGTCAACGCTTCGTCCCAGGCACCGTCTTCCAGGGCTTCTCGGGTGCCTGGCGCACCTCGAAGCGCGCCTCCCATTTGGCCACGGCCGTCCAGTGGGCGGCGTCCAGCACCAGGTCCTGCGCCGCGCGCCGCAGATGGGACATCCGTCAGAGCTTGGGAAACCGTGGGAAAACCATGGGAAAAACATGGGAAACACATGGGAAGATGATAGGAAAAGCATTGAAAACTCGTGTTGGTGGAGAACTATCGATAAATGATGGTGTTTGGGGAAAACTCTGAAAACCATTGGTGATTTTCAAGGGAAGACTGTGGAAAAAACATGTGGATTTTGGACGCAAAACTCTTGCAAAAGTTTCATTGGGATTTTAGCGGAAAACTATGGATTTGAACCATAAAACTTGACGGAAACTCGGGTTTCTATCCATGATTCAAAGGATGATCAACTTGATGATACAGTCAAGAGGAAACAGAAAATCACGCCACAACAATGGTGAAGTTAAGATGTATGATAGGTTAGACTTAATGAAGTTACCATGGGGACTTGACAGCAAACATGAGAGGGAATTTGCTTTTGAGCCATAAAAATGAGACCACATGAGAAATAACATGCAACAATGAGGGAAAACAATAATTTACACCCAAAGATTGAGACAAACAGGAAAGCATAGGATGTGTGGCACAAAAATGGGACTTGAGATGACTTGAGTTACGAACATCATGAAATTGTTAGTTTTCTAGTTTGATCTATAAAGGTTCAACAACCAACTGACATTTACGATTTGCACTTCCAGGAATTGCTGAAAAGAGGCAAAAATTGTGAGTCAGACCCGAAAATTGAGAAAACCACAGAGTTAGTCCAGATCCCCACATATAAAGCTAGACATTGAGACTTGGTTATATCCGAAATCATAAACATCCTAAACAGGGATGGGAATCATGCATGAAGTTTCTCGAACATTGTCACATCCAGACACTCTGCACGACATCAGCCTCTGTCACTTGGGTGAACTGCACGTTGCGCTCCCGGTTTCGGATGTGGGTGATCCAATAGTTTTCAATACCTGCGGAGGTCGATGGGGATTGCACTTCTTCAACTTGGTGATTCTTAGCTTCACCCAGTCACCCAGTGCCTGAATGACCCCGATAGATACCATTCTCGGTGTCATAAGGTCGTTCCACATATTCACCATCTTCCTCAGATGCTGCTGGGAATCGCTGGGAACAATGAAAAATATTTGCATAATCCAACTATCTGCAATATCAATATGGTTGATCCCCACTATTAAAGAATATTAAAGACCCCCATTTATGGATCTAAATGGTCCCAAATATGAACTCGGTGACTGTTCCAGCGGTCAACCCTACTTTACCATATTAGAGTTCCTTCAACATGTCAAATTCTAAAACATCCCTTCTTGGGCTTACCACATTCTATAGCATATCACTATATATAATGTTATATACATATATAGCAAGAAAAACAACTTCCAGTTTCTTCCCACCACATCCCAAATCAGATTTTGAAATCACATCATTATAATCATGTCATTGATAACGTACAGGGAAAGACAACTTCCGTAACAAGTTCCAGTTTCGTCCCAGCTTCCGTAAAAAGTTCCAAGATTCCCTTCACACTTTGCTCTTGCCAGGCTTTTCCATAGCGTTTCACCCAGTCGATCACATGATCCCTCGTCAGACTTGCAACCTCCCCAGGCATCTTGCAAGCCTTGAGCAAACTATACCAAACATCGTGTTTTTTTTAAGTGATCCTTCGACCCAAAAATACCACATCCAGACAGGCCGGCCATCCCCAAGATATCCTCTCAGGATCCTGATCTCATTTCGTCGAGTATAGAGTCGTCGTTAGTCGAGGTTGTACTAAAAAAAAGCAAGTCATAGATAGAAAAGTCTGAAATTCTGTATTCAATCTATTTCAATATCATTGTTTTGACTCCTGGAAATACGTGTTTCTGTTTCGGTATCTTTTTGGGGGATGGTTTCACCAACGAAACAGAACGAGACTACCAACCCAATGGGCACTCGATTCCTTCCATGATAATCAACTGGTCAACCCCATGGCAAAATCTGCTGGTCATCACCTAACATCTTTAACCCTGACGAAGCTGTCACCTGAGTCTGGCATCTTCACCCAGCGATCTTTTCGCTCGGAAAAAGGTGCGCGAGGCTCGAGAACTCGTCAGGGTGAAACTCCCCATGAGTCCATGGGGAATGAAAAGTGCATCCTTTTGAGATCCGCGTGCTTCTGGTTTTTTGGTTGCAGTCCACATTTTTGTTGTTGAAAAGTTACCCTCTCATAGCTATGGAAAATGGCACATTATGGCACATTTGTAGATGATTTATGATGATTTACCTACTATATGGATCTAATCTAATCTAATCTATCTATGGTGATGTTCGATAGCTATGTGAAACTACGGCTATTCATTAGGTTCCCCACCCGAGGACAGCAACCCAGCTACGAAAGTTCAGCCCGATCACCTCCCTGCGGCATGTGGAATTGCGATGACCCATAAGATGACCCACGTGGAGTAGCTGCAGTTATGGCCCGAAATACCAGTTATAAGTACTAACAAAACCCCATTTATAGAATGTATAATCCCACTGAAATAACCAGTTATAACTGATAAATGGCCATAACTGGAATAGCTGGCTATACCAACTCTCAAAGAAATAGGGAAAAGAAGTACACTTTACCAATTGTTTAGTCGTTTTACTATCTGGTTGGTGGTATGCCTACCCCTCTGAAAAATGATGGAGTTCGTCACTTGGGATGATTATTCCATTCCCAATATGATGGGAAAAATAATCCAAATGTTCCAAACCACCGACCAGCTATGGTTTTCTTTCGGAGTGTGCCAAAAACATTGCTATACTAAACAGTATTTATCTGGCTTCAAAAAGAAGCAAAGTGGGATAACCCTCATCGTTCAGACCGCCAACGTCCTGCGGTAAGTTGATACGTCCGGTGGTTCACCGTTGGCAAGTGGATTGTAGGCCCATTTCCAATCAAGGTAAGAAGCTGTAAGTAGTATTTCTTCAGGGTTGTTCACATCTCACCATTACTTTTTAATACTTGTTATATATCTCATAATTCTGTTGATTGCATCAGTCCGCTTGGTGGTATCTGTGGATCTGTGGTATCTGTTGGCAATATCTTCGAACTTCTCCCCAACGAACTGCAACGTCTCCTAACTGACCCAAGCAATGGCTCAATAAGTACCATTCATTACCTTGGGTGGGGATTAAGGGTATCCATTAGTGTTTTCATGTCTCACTGGTTGCTGTATGGGTATCCGGTTAATAATGGTCACATTTCATTATCACAACGAATCAACCCATAACCCACAATGGCTGAATCAAGTTAATCAGCAGCCTTTGAGTAGTCGGTTCAATAAGCCAATAATTAGCTACTAGGGTATTATATCCCACTTATCCCTTACCCTTACAATCAAATACACCCCTATGTACATCTCCAAGTCTAGAAGGGGATTTACACACATATTTGGTTCGGTATGAGAGATATTTAATATTAG